TAAAGGTTTTCTTTAGTTTTGGAAATAGAAAAAAGTCACACGGAGCCATGCCTGAAGAATATGGAGACTTGGTCAGCGGTATAGTACTTTTTTTTGGCCAAAAACACACACACAAATAAGGACGTTTTTTTTTTTTAAATTCAACAATTTTAGTAAAAATTTCGTTGATACACGTTTAAATATCTAAAATTTTGGGAAATCATCATCATCAGTAACTTCTCTTACTGACTCACTGTAGGTCTGAAAAATAATGTGTCCCACTTTAGAGTTATGAACATCAAAATAATAAAAAAAAATTCCATTTAGACATTCCAAGCTAACGTAAATTAAAAATTTTCGTTATATTTTGAATATTTTTTGTATACACGATTCCCTCATTTGTAGCGAACCGCAAAATAGAACTAACAATCCCACGAAATTGTTGACTTAGTGAATCAATCTTTGCATAAATGGCACCAGATCCTACGAGAACTGTACTAATGTAGTCTGGTTTATAGCTTCAAACAGAAGACATAAACACCACATGGAGGAAATTTGCCGCTTTTGTACTACAGAGACTCCATACCATCAAGCCGCACCGGAAAAGAATGTTAATATTTAAGAATCTGCGCATGATAGTTCGCCGACCGCAAGTACGCATATATGTATGTGCATAAATTGTATGAGGAATTCATAGACTTTTTCTTGATTTTGGCTTCACTTATCTGAATAGGTCCCGTAATAGGTAATCAATTATCAATACTGATACGGTCTGTTTATCACTTTTTTTTGAAGTACGTAAGGACCCGACTTCTCTACTTTCTGCTCTTAATCGCCGTAGACAAAATATCCAATATTTTCAAAATGTTTTCAAAGTGCATTCTAGCTTCATCTGTGATGTTTTACGTCACTGGAACACAATGTGGCAAACTGAGCTTCGGGTCCTGGTTCGACCAACATCCAAAATTGTAGGAAATTATTTTTTTCTAGTAGCCGAAAAATATCCTCTTCCGAGGGGAGAGCATATCAAGCTCCTCGCGTGTATTTCTGACATGAAATAAAAGCTCCTCATCAAAATCCATCGGCCGTTCCGAGGCGACTCAGCATAAATTGTCGGTCTCTTTACTGGAAAACATCAAGACGCGTATCTCAACTCGAAGGATGCGCTCGGCTAAAAGTCGCTTCAGCGGTTATGAAGTGACAATTTATATTATTTTCTCAAGCATTAAGTTAAGAAGCACAGATGAAATAAAGCCATTTCGGAATTGCAGAGCTCAGAGTGCCTCTTACCAGAACTGCTATTGTTGTTTTCACAGTCTTACCACCTTTGCGGTACAGCTGTCGTAGGCACCTTTTAAAATCGGAGAGAAAGTATTTTTTGTCGAATTCTAATTCTAATTCGCGCTACTAAACCTCAGAGGAGGTTCGTCGAAACGGCGATAAAACAATAGTAATACTACAGTGGGCAAAAAGTACGGTAAATTTTTAATTTGAGCTTCGCGCGTTTAATATTTCGGGTTAAATCTTTTTTTTTTTTAATTATAGTAGTACTGTTATTGACATCTGCGCCAAATTTCTTGTCAATGTTATCATTGGTATTTTAGTTACGCTTGTGTTTGCTAAACGACTTAAAGTGCCTTTGGCGATTTTTATATTGTCTGATTTAATTGAGCAAAGAAGTGTGACCAAATTTTGTTTGCGGAACGAATTTTCGGCTTCTGAAACGTTGAAGATGCTACAGAAAGCCTGTCGGGACGAGCATCAACATCAACTGATGTGCAACACGTCAATGAAATTAATGAATTAGCGCTCAAAAATCGTCGATGGACTATTAGAGACCTTACCGGTAAGGTTGGCATATCAGACCGATCTGTTAAAACGATTTTGAAAAACTATTTAGGCCTACGAAAAGTCAAATCTCGTTGGGTTCCAAAAACACTCAATTTCATGGAAAAAAGGCGTCACCTTGATGTGTGTGAAATCATGCTTTCTGACTACCAGCACAAGCTAAAATGCATGATAGCAGGAGATGAGAGAGGAGGTGACTTCTCGCTCTTACAAAAACTCAAGAGACCAATTCGAGGACACCGTTTTGAGTCGATTGAGGAGATTAAACGTGAATAGGCACGCTCTCTGAGGGCCATACCAGAACGTGACTACTCTGATATGCTTCGATAATTGGAAGAAGCATTGGTATAAGTGAGTGTCATCGGCAGGTGTCTATTGAGAAGGCGACGAAATCGATGTAGATGAATAAATAAAGATTTTTAATTTTACAAACAAATTCACGGGACTTTTTGCCCACAGTGGTATAAACAAACTCCACTATTTATGAATTAGTATATTAATATATATACATATAAACATAGCGGAGAATTTCGATAAATCCGTACTGTATGTACCTTTACCTATCACATTGCCTTTGTCGATCAATTGACACGCATACAAAAGACTTTAGCCACAAACTTTTTAAATGTAAATACATATGTATATACATACCATCATATCATATGTATTGCTGTGCAAAAGTGGAAGTATTCAAGTAAATCACTGAACAGGTTAATAAGTAGTTGTTATCAATTTAATTAAATAGAAAATTGTGGTACTGCATGTATGTACGTATGTATGTATGTATGAATGAATCTACAATGGAATGCGCAGAGCAATACACTTATGTGCGTAATTTACAATAAATAACAGTAATAAGGCACACCATAGACCACAACATATTGGTAGATTGACCATTTCAACGGTATGCATGAGTATGTGTGTGATGGCAGTTGTAGCGTGCTGCCGCTGTTTTCTTTGAGTGCGTTTATTTTTTTAATTTGGTTTTATTTTTTTTCTTTAACAAAGCTATTTAAAATGTGCCGCACGTTTCTCAACGACAATCAAAGTTTCACTATTTTTACTATTTTATAATTTTTTCTTTAAATTTTCTTATTTATATTTTACCACTTTTACTTCTTGTCAAGTTTCTACAATACTGCGTGTAAATGTATGTAATAGTAAAACACCTGTGATGAGCAGGCGTTACAGGCAAATTATATCGTCTGCAGAAATTGCCTAATAAGCTGTTGACAGGCTCAAAGCCTGTTAGGCTCAAGTAAATATAACAAAAAAAATGTATATGTATGTATGTACTCGTATATATGTATACGACAAAAGTGTTTGAGTACATTTTTGCACTTGGCATTTTCCTTGACTATTATTAAAAGAAAAAATTCGTATGAAAAGTATGTCGACAGCAAGCACTTTGAAAAATGGGAGAAACCTGAATTTAAATTATTCGCAAGCAAAAATATTACAATCGCTGATTGTGCACAATGCAAGCAACTCTAGCAGCTACAAATTTTCTACAATGAATCAAACTAATTTATTTATTTCAAAATCGAACGAAATTTTTTTTATTATGATCTTTTTCAATGTCCGCAACAAATATTTGTGTACCAAGAAGATATAAAATTTTAATAATGTAACCTTTAGATAGCGCATACCGTAAATCTTCCGAATTTGAGAACATCTATTATTTAGAATTAGCTTTTGTTAATACCATAAATCTAACTTGTAATGCTAATCCTAAACATCTCTAAAAGATTTAAAAAAAATTATTTTGTAACATTTTATTTCCTTTATTTTATTTATATTAATTACTTTATTTATATTTATTTTATTGTTTTTCTTTATTTTATTTTAATTTGTATTTTTTTATTTTATTTTAATTTTATTCTTTTTAATTTGTTTTATTTTGATTTTTTTTTGTATTTAATTTTATTTTATTTATTTATNTTTTTTATTTTGTTTTATTTTACTTTATTTTATTTATTTATTTTATTTTATTTCATATTAGATTATTTTATTTTATTTGCATTTTTGTTATTAAAAAAATTTTTATTTCATTTTTTATTTGGTTTTATTTTATTTTATTTTGTTTTATTTTTTTATTTAATTTTTTTTTGTTTTATTTAATTTAATTTTATTTTATATTATTTTATTTCATTTTGTTTTATTTAATTCTATTTTCTTTTATTTCATTTTCTTTTTCTTTTATTATCTTTTCTTTTATTTTGTGTTATTTTGTTTTATATTATTTTATTTTGTTTATTTTATATATATATATATATTATTTACTTTAGTTTTATTTTGTATTATTTTTATTTATTTTCTTTTACTATATTTTCTTATTTACTTTTTATACTTTACTTCACTTATTACTTTTTAACTTTTTATTATTGTTTTTTTTTTTGCAATTTTTGTAATTTGTTTTAATTTCTTTTTTCTTTGTTTTGGTTATTTTTATTTAACCTTTTATAATATTTTAGTTTATTTTACATTATTTCCTTTAACTATATTTATTTAATTTTTTTTTAAGTTATTTTATTTTATCTCATTTTATTTTTTTTTTTAATTTTTGCTTTCACTTGATTTTATTTTCTTTTATTTTATTTAATTTTTTTTTAATTTTTTCGCTTTTTTAAATCATTTTTTATATATTATGTTATATTTTTACTAAATTTAAGATTTTCCCATAAATCTTTCTTGTGTGCATTTTTTATTTAAAGAAATATTCGTTAGCAGAAAAATACAAATACCAACACGTGCAGATAGAAATATAAAAAATGTATAATACGTGCATAAAGCATTCAATTGAACTTCAGTATTGTCGCTTAACTGTGCTGACACACACACGTTCATATGTACTTATATCTATGAAATTTGAACGATTTGTATCGCACGCCTTTATCGGTTTATGCTCTTCACTTTCATACTACACTTATGCAAATATCACGGTTATAATTGTGGTCAATGGACAATAATTGTAAATTATACCGTTATCAAAGTGCGATTTTTAAAGTCCGATGACTAACGGAAATTACCACACAAGATACTGTACATATTTTTATGCATAATTTTATGACACAGAGGCACAAATCCAGTAACTTCGAGCTCGTAGTTAAAGCATAAATAATTTTTTTGTTTCCTTTCGTTTTTGAATTTAATAAATCTCCCTTTCCTTACAGCTCCTTCCTTCAATTTGCATCCTTATCACCGCACTGACCCTCAGCTCAGCGGAACCACCAATCGGTAAACGTCACTTAGGCTATCCACTTTGGGCTGGTAAGAGTGCTAAGCAAATCGCGCTCAATCGCAATAAGGCCGGTCTCGCTGGTGCCAAACAACGAACCTTGGTAGTGCAGATACGGAGCGATCAACCGGTACCGCTGGTACTCAAAGGTGGACGCAATTCACAGCAACAACTACGACATGGTCCAAATCATTTACGCGGTATTCGACCGGTTAAATTGACCGGTCCAGTTTATTTGAAAGCTGGACCCATTGGACATAAGCCATTGCAGCGCAAGCCATTGAAGATCAAGTTAGCTAGTACGAAGCCGAAGAATAAGCCTGCAACTAGTTATGAGGTGCCGTTCCGGTTTGAAGTGCCAACAACAAATTCAATCGCCTATCCACCGTTGGGCAATGAAGCGCAACAGCTGCCGGTAAGTGTGAACGAAAGAGTGTTTGAGTTTATGGTTGGAAAAATGGGAAAAGAGCTCGAGATATTGGATTGAATAAGGAACGAAGGCTTTATAACTATAAAAACGCCCTTCTGGCGATTCGCTTATACAGTCTACATGTGGGCACCTTTTTAGCTGCACAGTCGACCTTTTGCCTTCATATGACCTAAGATGCGCGCAGTTAAAAATCTCTTAATTGTTCATCTCATAGCCGTATGCACAAGTACAATGACTTTGTTGGTAAATATGTTTTAGAGTTCCGAGTTTTATTTTCTATTTTTTCAACCCAAACAAGCCATAAACCATAGAATATCAATGCTCAGCTCTCAACTCAAGTTAATGATAGTCTTAGTTTCATAAATGAGCAATTCCAAAGTAAAACACATACATACAAATAATATTTGCAACAAAGAAACAACAACAAACAAAGCAAAAAACATTTCACTTCCACTTACAGTCGGAGACACATCACAATTTCATCACCGAGCATGAGCATGACAACGATCACTTTGCACCCATACACACAATACCCGCACCTAATCTCTCCTTACCTGAAAATCATCCCCAGGAAGCTTACTTACCACCAAAAATACAATCACAAACTTACCATCAAACCCTCACCAATCATAATATCGAGAATCAGTATCAGGTCACTGAAGACCATAGCAATGACCAAACCATACGTGACCCACTCTCTGGCTCGCAGAAACTCTTCGCACCCGATCCAGATCCATCACTGCCAGCTGCCCAACTGCGTCCCGCTACAGAGCCCTACAACCAGCCCAGCAACGGCAAACCACTACCGGTTGATGTACAATCCAACTACCTTGTACCCGCTCAACCCTTAGTGCAGATAATCGGCGCACAGGAGGTGGCCACACCCGAAATATATCCAATTCAATTTACACAACAAGCGCAACTACAACCGTTGGTCAGTGCAAATGTCGCCGCCGTGCACACTGCCTCGGCGCCCATCTACGATCCCACATATCTGGTCACGCAATCAAACCAACTGTACACACAACACCAACAGCAGCTGTTCCAACCCAGCGCTAACCTTTTGCAAGCAGGCTACGTTAATGCTGACCTTACACAGGAAATAGCCAGTGATGGTCAGATCTTACAGGCTGCCAAAGATCCCCATCACAATATACATCCGGTCTTGGATAGTGCACCCCAATTTGCAGCCCTTATTGCGGCACCGGTCTTGGGCGAACAGTCCGCAGGACATTATAATTTGCAGCCACAAGCTGCTGCATTAACTGCTACATCCGCGGCACCTGAAGGTGGCTTCGTTGTGTCCAATTATTATGGTAATGGTGGTTCAGATAATTCTCAGCTGTTACAGGCGTATGCGGAGGAAGAAGCTCAACGCCTGGAAATCGAAGCGGAGCAAGAAAAGCAACAGTATGTTCTACAACAGCAGCAACAGCATTTGTTGGCCTTGCAACAACAACAACAACAACAACAACAACAGCAGCAGCAGCAGCAAGAACAGGAACTACAACAACAGGAGTTGCAGCAACAGCAACAGATACATCAGCAATTGCAAGAACAACAGCTACAACAACAATTGCATCAGCACCAGCAGCAGCAGCAGCAACAACAACAGCATCAACAGCACCGTAACCAACTACAATCGCTTGATCCGGCCGCAGCTGCGTTCCAAGAGCACCAACGTTTAGTTCAACAGCAACTTGGTGCCGACACACCACTACGAATATTCGTTCCCGATGATGAAGCGGCAGGAGAGGCGGTAAGTGATATACAGCTTTGGGCATGAATCGTTTTCTTTATTTCCTCTTCATTTTGAAACGTTACTAAAATAAATTTATCCCGTTCAAGCAGCGTCTACAAAAACGCTCCGACATGGTGAAAAGGGGCACAGTCGAGGACGCGAGCACGGCTAACGATAATACAGCAGCGCATGACGATCTCTTCGAGGTATCGTCGTCCGTTGAAGTATCAAATGAGAACCAAAAAGACACCATGACTGATAATAAATAATTGGATCTGCGTTATTGCAGTGGAACTCATTTGGAATAAAATAACGAGCAATATATATATATGCGTGTGTAACATAATATGTATATGTATTTATATTTAATAGTGTAGTATAATAAATTATTTATTTATTTCATACTGAAAATGTTTATCAGTTAAAAAAAGAACAATTGGTAAGAACAAATCTTTAGAAAATATTAAATTAACGGTTACATATTTAAACTATTTAAATGAAAGCTATTTGGAGGGGTATAAAAAATACGAATCAATGAGAGTCAGCATTCCAAATATAGCAGACAGTCTGACCAACACGCTGTTCTTGTATCACACCTAAATGTCGCAACATGACAATACGGTTTTGTTGCTTTTTATCCAACATTTTGTGAATTTGTTGCGAAATATCGCCTGGTGTTATAAAATTGCGTCCTGGGAAACGTATCGGAAAAAATTTAATAAATACGATAATCAACATTATTTTTGCGAACTACCTGGTACATATGACGCTTGTTGATTATACACTTTCCACAATTCCAAATCTTGCCGATTGCGCACTGTACTACGTTGGCGATGCATTAACTGGTATTTTTTATTGAAACATGTAACTATTACAGTGTCCAGAAAATTGCGGAGATCATCTACAGATTCGCGACCGCGCATATATCTATAAAGAAAATAATGTAAATTAGGTAACGTATGAAACGGTACTTTCAAATGCTCACTTTGGTATTGATTCAAATTGTTCTGTAGTTATTAGATATTCAAAATCTAGAAATTTGAAAGGTATAGGGTGAATAGGCCTTTGCTTTACTAATGGTGATTCTTTATAACCGCTCAGAGTAAGTTTTTGTGCCTTGGCGCTCTACGAGAAAAATTAAATATTTCCATTAATTTTGTTACATTAAAAAAGCAACTAAACTTACCGAATGCAAATTAAGTCGGTTCATTCCCTTTTCTAATGTTTGGTTTGCTACCAACTTTTCAGCTGTGCGCGGCGCGTTGGAAACTGTAAAGGCAACAAGCATTTCGTGCTCCCGCTTTTCAGCTTCCTGGATCTTACGGCGGCGTTCTGTTAATATATAACTTAAAAGATCACTTTGCTGTCTTTGCATACGTATAATTAAACGACCATGCTGTTCATCTACTTTGCTTAGATCATTTTTTACTGCCCTGCGTACCATGTCCATTAGTTTTTGGAGCTCTTTTGTTTCCTTCAGTAATATGACAGCGACGTTGTGCACTTTATCGCGGCGTAAGCTTAAAGCAATAAAGTTTTCAATCAATGATACCTTTTCGTTGATTGCTGACTTAATCTCCTCCATATTTATTTTTAACCTTTCCCTATTAGTACTAATTTAAAATAAAAGCAAATTATGAATTAATTAAAAAATGTTGGACAAACCTTTCAAATTGCACTTTAAAAAATTCACAGGGTGAGTGTTTGATTTAAAAATTATCTGTGCTGCCATCGTAATTGGAGAATTAAATGTTATTCTTATTTAAATGCATCAAAAAAGTTGTGCAAGACATTTTAATAGTTACGCATTTTCATTTTTTTTTTAATTAAAAAGCGGATTTCGAAAATTTGATAAAAATCATTATAAATATTGGTTTTATTAAATAAAAGTAAATGTTAATAAACACTCTGAGACTCTCTATTATTATTGGCACCCTGTCAATACTCTTAGCATTCACAATAATCACATATTCATTGTGATTTATTTTTAGCTCGATCCCAATTTGAATCAAATTGATCAAATGAATTCGGTTCTAATTTTGTGCGAATTGGAAAAACAATAGCCAATTTATTATTGAATTAAACGGAATACTGCTATAGATGCATCCAATTTTATATTATGTGTTGCAAGTTTAAGGTGTAGAACAACCTAATTATTAGCATGGATCGCACAATTATTGCCGTGCAGCGTGCGGAAGAACGAGACCTTAGTGAAAAATTGTACAAAAAACTGCGCGGGTTGGCCCTATTACATCCCCAGACGGATGAGATGCGGAAATGTTTAAACGAGGAAATGTTCATCAAACCCAATGTTCAAGCATTCTTTCATGTAATGCATTATCTGTTTTGCTTGTTAGATCCAGTTGAGTTTAAAAAACGTTTCTATTGGCCAATCACAGATAAAAGGTCCGAAGCAAATTTTCGTACAAGTACCGTGGAATACTTAAAATATATAAATGAAAAACATAAATTGCACTGGGGTGACATAAAGTCCTATTTGGTGGTAATGCCCGGTGGTAAGAAGTTCATTTTATTCCTTTTGGAACTGGTAGCTTTTGTTGTGCAGGAACAGATACGTCATCGAGAAAAATTGTTAGGTGCTGAAGTGGAGGCTGGTCATGCGGCTGAATTAAATCTAAAGCGTATGCGAAAGCAAAATGTATTCTTCAAAATTTATGCTTCGGCTTATATAAATAATGTTGATGAACAAATTGTGCAATTACGAGATAAAACACGACAGTTAAATAATATATTTGAGTCTTTGGCTAAAGAAACCGGCAGGTACAAAACGGAGATTTACACTGATACATTTATTGCCTCATTTGAAAAATCCAACCGTGAATTGTTCGAAGAAAAGTATGCGAAAGGAACTGTTATGGTGCGCAAGTTGGAAGAACCACTTGTTACATTAAAGGAAGTGATAGACAAATTCCAATTGAAAGAAGCGGAAATGAAATACGATAAAGGCCGCGTGAGGCAAGCTTTACAAAAAATTTTCGATGTGTTACCAGCTGAAAATACAGCAAACTCAGGTACGTTGTGAGGAATTTTTTATAATTTTCTATTAGAAAATGTTAAACTATTATGATTAGATATTCTAAGTGTTTGTATGTTGAACTGGTTTCTTCTCATTAAATATTTCAGATGTATTTGTACATCCTACTGTAAATCCTATGGATGACATCCATTTGAATGAGCTCATAATTGCGTTTAACCAAATTCAACCGTTATTAGAAAACGCTTTTATTGATGTTGAGCAGACGAGAAATTGCGGAGAGCTTGCTGCAGCAGAGTTGTCGGCGCTTAAAAATGAATTTCATCGTATAGAATCACAAATTACCAATTTGCAATTATCTTTAAATAGTCAGATGAAAAAACGTACTAACAATAATAAGCATACACCAGGAAATATGAATGAAGATTGTAATTCCTTAATGTTAAAATATGTATGCACACCACCAATTAAATTTGAAACAATTAACGCTGGTCGTATGGATAATATACGTCTGCCACTATTTGCTGATATGCAAACGAAAACTGCGTCCGATCCTTTCTGTGCAAATATTTCAGGTACATCTCCTTTGGCGTTTTTCCCTTGTTTATTATTTAACAAACCCATTTTGATATTTTTAGTTTTACCTCGTTCCGCACGAAAAGTAACTGTAAAAGACTCTTCGATCGACATGAATAATACTAATAACAAATCGCGCATTATTGATTCCACACAACTCTTACGTACTATTCATAAGAGCGCTGCGCGTGCGCAACGAAAAAATTCTCAAAATTTGTCAACTACATCTGCAGCCTTATTAAGTACCAGCTGGCGAGAACGCCAGAATCTCTTCCATTTCGATATGGAATCCGAACCTGTGGTGTCAACTGAAAACACAATTAAAACGATCAGCAATGTTGGTGATGCAAATAAAAGCATTAATCGAACAGCAGATAATAATCAAATGAATGGGCTTAGTCATATCAGCACTTCCCCCTATACTCCCTTCAATTCTAACGAACGAACACGTATCCCACGTACACATTTACTGGATGCGATAAACAGCAGCAGTGGCAGCGGTGGCTCAAAAACGAAAGTTTTTTACTCAAGGCGACTATCGGCAGTGCAGAAGGTCCAAGGCGATTCTTTAAATATAGCGAATATGAGCACGAGTCCCTCTGGGCGACTCGATGCACTAGTGCCGACAACAAATGAATACGTCGATACGCCACGACTCAAATTGAACGACATCACAATGCAGGAAAATGCAATTTTTATAGATGTAAGTCAGTCAATATAATTTATGTGCAAATTCCATAATAACACAACCATATATATATGTTAATATTTACAGAAATCTGATGAGCGTGTGACGACAGTACAGGTTTTGGAGTTGTCTTCCAGATGTGTATTAGTGAGTAAAGATGAGCAAAAAATTACATTGAATGGCGAAAATGATCAAAATGTTGGTAACACACCGAAGAATCAGCAAATGCCAATACAAATAATTACCGATAATGATGATGATTTATTCAATATTAGCGATACTGTGCTAAAGGACATTACAATGTAATCAAATATCTCACATCTCACATCTACGAATACAAAGCATAGAACACATAAACATTTATACATACACACATACGAGTACATAATCATAAATGCATTTCATTTGAATATTATGCCGTGTGCATTTTTATATTTTACTTTCTACATTAGTTTGTTAATATATTTTTAATTTTAATTTTAGCTTTTGTTTAAATGTTATTCCAGAAACTGTGTATTTAGGTACGAAACTGTCTTCATCTTTCTACATTCTATTCTGTTATGAACGCTGCCTTCTGTTTGGGCTTGAATTTGATATCGCCTATTTCGCGTATGAGGGGCTTAATATGTGGATTCAGGTAGGGTCTTTGGTTAAGCTCCATGGTTGCTTTGGATTTTTTATAATATAACATATTCATAGCATTTTGACGCTGTTCATAGAACATGTCATCATATGGATTAACCTTCTCCTCTGGACTCATTTCGTTTGCTTTAGCTAAACTGATTGTGGCTACCGTACTATTTTCTTTTAAATCGCTATCTGAAGTTGGTGATGTTGTTTCATTGGTCGGTATTGATTTTGTAGAGTCTTCATTGACCATTTTTTGCATAACACTGCGCAGTTCTTCACGTATTACATCTGTATTGATTTTGAATTTTTTGGCTTGCAAATGTCGCAGTTTTGGCACAGTTTGTAATACCGTTGAAATTCGTTCCTCCAAATTGGTGATGCGTTGGTCTAATATTTGAAAGTTTTCCACAATCAATTTGTTCTTGTCTGTCTCATTCAACATTTCAACGGTCACTTCCATCTCTTGCTCATCATCCTGCAAGGACTCGGCACTGGGCGCTGCGCTTTTGATTTTGGCTTGTACCTTTTCGCGTAAGCAGCGTTCTATAAGCGAATCAATCTCCTCTTTGCGTATAAACTGATCGGTGACACGCAGTTCTTGCAATATATTCTGCACTTCTTCTCGCACCAAACTGGTAATCGAGAAGGTATTGTAAAAGCTCTTCTCCTCCGAGACACTCGTGCTCGATTGAGAGCCGTTCAAATCCATCATTGCCTTAACTACTTGTTGGGTCAGTGGAATTAAACGTTGTTGGCTATTTTGCGGAGTGAGATGATCGATAGCAATACTTGTTAAAGTTGCCTTTTTAGTTGGCTCCTGTGGCTGTTGTTCTTTATAATGGAAATTGCTTTCCATAAACTGAGGAAATTTTACCTAAAGCTCGGTTTGTCTGTCGGAATTTTCGTAATGGTTTCAATATTTAACTTTTAATACTTTTTTCAAATATTTTTTTAACTTTTGTCACTTAAAATTTTGCACACTAAACCTTGAAGACAAATAACAATTTAAAAACGAATTACAAAAGTTTACAAATGATTTATTTTTCTAATGTAAAATTCAATGCTACTTGTTTAATGAATGTGCTTCAGTTAAGCCATATAACTCACTGTTCGTTAGGGATTAAAGTTGTCTCTTTTGTGATTAGAAGAGAGTTCACAGACGGAGAAGACAAGCTCTTAAAGCTTGCCCTTTTGAACAATCAGAGGTCAGGTCTAAAACCAATTCATCTAAGACTCCTGTCCGTCTGATCCGAACGCATCGAAAAAACCCTGCTTCACTGTCCATGCGTTATATGACTTCGATGGCCGAGACTGATTTTACCTGTACCTAAGCAGGGTTTGATAGATGCCAAAAAACGAAAAACTCTTAAAAATAAACTCTTCAGTGATTTAGCCGAGAGAAGCTGGCAATTGTAACCCTTTTCCTTATCAACGCAACACTTAAATTTTTTGTAGTGGAGAGTGAAAGAATCCTCTTTCCTTTCCGACCTAGTGGAGTTACAAATAGCCAATACGCCCAGTTGCGTGTACAAAGCCAGCTTACTTGAAGCAACTACCCCCTTTAAATCAGCCGGCTGGAAGCTCCTTTTCACGGATGGATCCAAAGCATCTTACACCTCCTTCGCCGCAGTCAGAAAAGATAAAGAACCTATTTCCAATGGGCGGCTATTTCCGTTTTGCTACAGCTACAGCAATTCTAAAAGCTGTGGAATACTCACAACTAAATAGAGGAAAATTCATAATCTGTACGCACAGTCTTTCATGATTCGTGGCTGTAAAAATCCCTATTAACGCAAACTACATCATAAGTGGAATAAGAAACGAATTAATATCCCTCCCTAACAAACTCAAAGTAATGTGGACTCCCAGCCACACAGGCATCAGTGGAAACATCGCTGCGGACGCAACCGCTAAGGAAATGATCCTCGCTCCTACCATCACCTCTTCATACTTGACAAGAGGCGACATCTACCGACTAATAAAACATAAAAAAAAGCACATAAATTATAATCATCATTATTTAAGGATTGGCCCAAGTCGCGTCAAGTCAGATTTTCCGTCAACCATGTCGACCAATTTAATTACCCCGTACATCAGACTTCGCATCGGTCACTGTATCATAACCAATTCACACCTATTGAGCGGCAGTCGCTAAATTCAGTGTCCCTTCTGTGATTGCACCGTCAGCATTCATCACCTACCTATCGCCAGTCCCGCGCTGGAGAACTCAAGAGCAAACCACTTCAACAATGAAGATCCGGTCCAATTATTAAGTGCACCATCAGTAGCAAACATCTCTAAAATTTATAATTTCCTAAAGGAATCCGATCTTCTTCGCCGTATTTAAATAAACCAGTCAGCCGAAAGCCGATGTTACTAGCGCTGCGAACCGTAGTTTCAATAATAAATTTTTGTTATGCAAGCTTTCATAAATAAATAAAATAAAGAAATATTTTTTGTTCTTTGATTTCCTTAAAGGAAAGGAGGAAAGGAAGTTCCTTCCGTACTAAAATCTATTTCAGTTTACTACAATATTTAGACCTAAACTGCGCCAATATTAGACGTGTCTGCAAAAGTTAGTAATTGGTTTCCTATAAACATATTCATAGGGAGGGAGTAGAGGTAGGCATTGACTCTCTTGTATCATCTTCCCTGCGTCTTGGAGCCGGTTGCTGCTTCAAACAGGTTATAAACGAATAGTATTGTCCCCTAACAGGTTTTCAGCCACTCTAGTGCAGAGTACGGACTACATACATTTGCACCCTAACAGACAATCTGTGTCCCCTCTCTGCAGCGCAAACAAGCTAAAACAACCGATCTCTAAAAATCTACAATAAAAACACCGCTTTCTATTTGCCAACAATTCAATGATATTTATTATGAATAAACTCCACTTTCCAATTATTATGCAAGCAATTAACTGTATTTAAATAATTCAACCCTTATTTGTATAAAAAAAAAAAGTTACAACAAAAGAAACCGAAACAATCAACACGCTTGGAAGCTACAACCTTCTTTTCAGTACTCTGTTTAGTAATCAACTAGTTTCTTTAGTTTAGGCGGTGCCGAGATGACAATGCGGTTTCTATTATTATTACTTGTATTGTTGCCACTGCCGGTGGCCGCTTCTTGTCTGTTGCCAGCCGCATCGCGTTGCTGCCGTTCCTTGTCTCTGTCGTTCTGTCGATCACGATCTCTATCTCTATCGCGATCACGTTCACGTTCACGCTCTCTATCCCTATTCCTATCACGCTCCCTTTCCCTTTCCCTATCCCTATCGCGATCACGATAACTATCACGAGAGCGCGCTTCGTTTCTAGAACGTGATCGCCTACCGCGATCCCTGTCCTTATCCCGTTCTCGATCACGCTCATCATACCGCTGAGTGCGTTGATAACGTGATGTACGTTCACGACTGGCCTCACGCTGCCAGCGAGAACGTGAAGCACTGCGACGTCGACGTCTCGAAGCGCTGCGACGATTACGCGAACGTGAACGTGAACGCCTTTCGACAGGGGCCGAGCGCTGCGATTGATAATAAGATTGACTACGACTGCGCGAACGATGCGTCGTACGATCCTCTCGACTTCTACTACGTTGTGAAGATCTAGCGTGATGATGCGCTGTGGTAGTATAATAATGACGGTCCTGTGTTTGTTCATCTTTCCCACGAGCGGCCGTTTGCTGTTGGCTTTGTGAAAGTTGCTTTTCGATCGCAGCCGCAGCAGAAATAGTGGTACCGACACCAGGTGATTTGCTGTGCCGTTGTGATGGCTGTTGTGTTGACTTCATTGTACCCGAAGCATCACTATCTGAATCCTTGCCACTGGATGGCGTGCCGTAACGATGCCGCAGTTCGCGTTGCCTGATTTGTGTGCAATGTGCAAGATGGATTATTATTAATATATAAATAAATATGTATATACACACATATATAAATGTATGTATGTATATAAGTAGGGAATGTAGTAAAACATGTTTACACGAAACTACTTCATTAACATATATTACCTTCGTCTCAGCTTCAATGCCATTTCGCGCATTTCATCTTCGCGTTCCTGTTGCAATTGCCGTTCGCGCTGCCACTTCTCGATTTCAGCACGTTTATCCGCTTTGTCTAGCCAGGCATGGGCACAAGTGATGAGAAAGAAAAGTTGTTTATTATTTTAATGATTTTTTTTTTCAGAGTTTTCAGAGTTCTCAATACTTACATTGCTTGTTGAGTAAATTTTGCATTTTGCGCTTTAGTCGTTCGCGTAAATTCATACGACTGCTGTTCTGTGGCGTTGCAGATGATGATGATGACGTCTGTAATGAATCACTTCCAATGGTCAGTAAAAGCACAACCAGTTTTTCATATTAAAACTATATATAACTATTAGCTGAGGTCAACGTCCTTTTGTTAACAAAGCCCTTACAAACTAAAATAAAAAAGGATTTTCTTTTTTGTAACAGTTCTAAATATCCAGATGAACAAGTTCTGAAAAGTTAGTTGGCGCAGGATGCAGGATTTGAACGAGCTTCGAGTTATGAATGTAAATTTAAAAAATTTTTCATATTTCATAATAAAATTTTACTGTAAAGAAATTAATTTCTGGAATAAATGAATAAATAGCCGAACAAAGTGAAAGTGCTAGTTGCTCGAAAGGTTTTTAAATTCACACTAGAAATATAATTTTTTGAATAAAAAAATCTTTTTTTCATTACAGAATCTAAATTAAATAAAACTAATTTCATTACTTTTAATTTTCCATACGATTAGATGTTCTAAACGAAATACTTTGTGCCGCGCTAGTAAAACAAAGAAGCTTTTAATTCTAAAAAGAAGTTTAGTAAAAGTTTCGTTTCTGTTAATTAAGTATTTATATAAAGTTGCTTTAGGTCCTTTTAGTAGTTTACTTTGCGGAATTCTTTTCTGTCTAAAATGTCAAAGTTCATTTGAAATATGTATGTAAATATATTTTCTGCACTGTAACTCCTATCCCTTGTCCATTGAGTTTTTATAATTTTGTTTTCATTATGCCGGCATATCTCGATTTTGTGTTGCTGAAATTGATATATTTTTTGGTGGTTCTTACTGACTTTGGTTTCGGTAGCATTAGAAAAACTTGGATTGATTTTCGCCGGAGCAGTAGTGCTATATTTGCCTATTTGTTTACCAGTGGTTGACGCTGATGATGATGGCAAAGGGTTGGAACGTTCAGAGCTAAAATAAAATTGTAGAAAAATTTGAAATTTAAAATATAAATAAGTAAATAAAATTAACAAATCGTAGGACGACTTAACAACTTGCAACATATGCATATGTATGAGAACTCTCAAGGTTTAGCCGTCTGTATTTGCAAATTGATTTAAATTCAGACACGCGCAAATGTTAAGTCATCGGATTCGTTCGAGTCATTAGTAAGCCATTAGCGGCTGCATCAAGATGATATATTTAAGTATGTATGTAAATTGTATGCATTTAAATATAATATGATTGACTAAATGTGGTTCAACTTTACCATAGGTGCATTCCTTGTGCGCTTAACTTACGTAGTATCCACATCCATGCGTTCGTCACTGTCATTTCCATCGCCGCTGATTGGCGCTTGCTGTTTTGCTGTTTCTTTTTCATCGGCATTTGTGTCCGATGCAGAACCACTTTCCGAGTCGGATGTATCATCTCCACGTTTGCGTCCATAATAACGTTTGAGTGGTGGTGGTGGCGGTTCCACTACCTGTGGCAATAAATTAATTGCCGCAGCACTGCCAGAAGCGAGGGTTGTTGTAGCAGTCTTAATGTCGACCGATGGTGGAGGCGGTGGCGGTTCATTGACTGCAGCAACGACTGCTGTTGACATAGCCGTTATGCGCGTTGATAATGGATAACTAATCATTGGGGCTGTTGCACTAATAGTGGTCAACGTTGTACTTGATGTAGCGTGTGCAGAAGTATTGACTGGGTTTAAGCTAATCGTTTTGCTTTTAGGTAAGTTTTGAGAGGTGGTGGTACTGCTTAGAAGTTTCGCTCGAGATCTTGAGCGCGTACGACTACGTGCTCGTCGGCGTTCTACTGATGACTTTTTATGTTTTGAATTCTGTTTATGCTTTCGTTCCGAGTGTCGACTGCTTTGGGATACAGATCGGGAGTTTCGTCGTCTGGAGCGTTGTGAGGAACTGCTTGTTGATCTATACCGTCGTTTATGTGACACACCATGTACGCTGCGTGAACGTGATCGTGAACATGAATTTGATGTGGAGCTTGAACGTTTTGAACGTCGTTTGCGCCTTGAACGATCATATGAAATTGAACGTGACCTTCTGTGACGATGACGTCTACTCCGGCTTTGACTCCGAATACGTGAACGGGAACGAGACCTCGAGTAAGGTCGCCGGCGACGTTCTCGGCTGCGTCTTTTACTACGACGGCGGCTCCGACTTCTACTTCGTGAACGTTTCCGGGAACGGCTACGAGAACGGCTGGTTTTACCTGCCGTTGCCAGACGCTTTGTACCTTCATTCAATTGCTTGAGTTTCTCCAAATTCTCTTTCACTTTTTGTGCGTAGGTAGCTTGCGATGTTGCCGACACGCCGGCACAAGCTTCTCCCAAAGTTTGGGGTGTACGCCCAATACTAATAGAAATTTTTGAATGGGGTTGTAACTCGTCTTCACCGCCAAAAGATGTGATATAAGTAATTTTCCCTGCATTTGGATCAGGCGACGGTGAGCGTGATTCACTTTCTTCATCTTTATCTTTCTTGCCACCAATATCTTCTTTGGCCGCGTAACTAGGTGGGCTGAAGGGACGGCAAGCAATGCGACGTTCTTTCTGTGCTCGACGCTCTCTGCGCGACTTTCGTCCACTTAATAGCATTTTTTCTTGTTCTTCTTCACGCGCAATGCGTAAAGCTTCAGCCTCATCTGCATCTTTAGTTAGATATGAGTAAAAGTCATTGCTTACCATACCATAATTACGGCCACAAGCATTCAACTCATGCGCTTGTGCAGTGTCTAGTTTAGAAATATCTATAGAAACGTCCATATCCATATCAGAATCTGACTCTGAATCAGAACCCTTATCGGATTTACCAGAGGGTTTTTCTTGCGTAGCTGGATTAAATGGATGACCGGTTGATGTTGTTGATGCCTGACCTTCTTCATATATGTAACCGATACTAACACCGCTCTTAGATTGCTTCTTTTTACTTGAAGCACGTTCCATTGCTTCCAACTGTGCACTAGCCCCGAATTGTTCTTCGAGATACAGTTGATGAAGAAATTTGTCTTCAGTAACATTTAAGAAATCATTCTGTGCCAAAATGCGATATCTTTCGTAATTGCATTGTCGCTCCTCAACTGATGGTTCAGCACTTTCTGCTTCATTTGGCTTAGGCAATGCCTGAATATAATCTAAATGAGCACGTACATCGAAGCGATCAATTAGATTATCTTGTTGTCCTTGCCAAGGCACACTGCAAAATAAATGAAAATGTTTATTTATTTAAAAATATATCTTTATAAATATTTAATAAATAAATAACTATTTCAGTGAGGAAAAGATTAGCAAAAAATAAAAGTCGGATTTTTCCGAAATATGACTTGCATGATGGCGGCTCCATCGCCTGCAGCAGCTGTGGCTGGATCAAGATGAATCTTACATCTTCGACCATGAACTTGAATGAACTGTGTTGGGTCCGCTTGCTGCATATAAAAGACAAAATAAAAGAATATTTATTTTTTTGCACTCTTTAAAAATGAGATGTTATTGTCATACACTTTCGTCACTCACAATTTTTTCGTAAAAGTCCTGCCTACGTTCAGCACGCTTGCGATAATCAACAATCATGCCCCGTATTCGACGCTCTTGCTTACGAGCTTCGTGCCACATTTTTCTCCCCTAGTTAATGTTTTAGGAACTGTGTATTGGTCGAATTCGTATTTCTACACATTCGTATATAGAACAAGACACTTTATTCTAAATATTTCTGTCTTCGAGCAGAATCTGAAATAGATTAAAATCCTTTTCACGTTCATTAAAAAATTTTGCCTCAGACGGGCAATAGATAGCACAAAATTATTACTTGACGTTTACGTGACATTTATTTTACCGCCTACCGGCACAAAAGGGTGGCCGAGTTAACAAAAATCAATTCATTACGGCTGCGCCACACGTTCGTTACTAATTTAACCAATTGGTATGTACCTATGTAATTTAACGCTTACTCAATGCATGCACAGTTGAAAGACTCGTACGTTTCTATTTAAACTAACCATTTTTCTTGAAGTGTTATTAATAAACGTTGATAAAAGACCTTTTATTTAACAATCCAGAGATCGAAATCGAGAGATGAGAAAATCATTGTGATGTTTTTTTAACGAAAATCGTTGAAGTTAACAAAAAGAGCAAGAAATTTAAATAATAGTCCATTAATAAAATTAATAAATTGAATAACGACAACTCTAGAAGGATGTTCGCTTTTGTTTGTTTGTTTACATTTGTGTCATCGTCCTTTATATTCACTTTTCGGTGATTTTCGGTCGTCTTTTGTTTTGGATTTTTTTGTCACATCGATTTTCAAAGTTAAATTTTCGATACCAATATTAACATTTGTTATCCTTTCTTATGAATTTTCAAAATGTCTAAATCTCGTTTTTATAATTTTCCCGGAACGGTTTCCAACGGTCTTACCGAAGAGGATATTCATGATATTATTTCCAATAACAACAACAATGAAGAGGACAATGAAGACAACGACGATGACTCGGAGTTCTTACGTGATGTTCCTTATTCATCTAGCAGCATTGATCGAAGTTCTATAGGCTCAATACCATGGGCAGACGATGCCATAAAACAAAATCAGTTAGATTGGGAAAAAGTTGAGCGTATGTTATCTGGAGAGGATGAATTGCCAGATGAGCCTGATTTGCGTAATGAAATTGAAGAATGGCAAACAAAGTTTCCACAACTTATGAGGACCAAGACATCTTTAAACACATCGCAAGAAATTATAACAGAAGAAATCTTTGACTCGAGCAAGCAAAGTGACAACCAAATTCCCAATCCGACTGATGATTTAGTCTCACATTTAAGTTTTAACAGTTCTGACGATGATGATCAGTATGATGAATTACCAACACCCACAGCAGCAGTGTCACAGCGGACAGAAAATTTAAGTGGTCACATCGTTAGCAGTAAAAGTCCAATTAGCAAATCGTACGCAGATCGCCTTTCGGCCAAAATGGCTTTGTTAAGAATAGCAGCATTACCTATTCATCAGAATCCAAGGCATAAAGTTTCAAAAACTATGATACCACAACAAACCTCTACAGTACGTGAGCACAGCAGTACAACGAATTCCTTACGATTACGTAAAATATCGCCGAATAGACCTCAACCACTAAAGCAAACACCCAAACAACCCAAAGATACATTTTTTGAGACGCAACAACGTTTTCATATGCCGCCAATTTTGAATGTACTGGAAACCAAGAGACGCTTTCGTGACTTGGCTTCAAATAAAAGTTTTGTTCAATTGACACGTGTAAAACCATCGCATGCTAAATCTGCTGCCATAATACGACAGACCGAAAGTAGTATTCCAGTTGGAATTCAACCGCGTGCTACAGCACTTCTCGGCGGGCACCAATCTGTTTGGCATAAACCATTAATAGCAACACGAGTGAGTAGTAACTTCTTCAATAACCGGAACGCTATCATCTTACCTGCTTTAAATACCCAACGTATCAGCGCGCAACAGCGTCGAAACAGCACTACAACTAGTACTGGAGCTGATACAAGGACTCAAAGTTTATCTAACTCGAATTTAGGTTCTTCAGAGAGTAGTAGCGCTGGTATTGATTTGAGGCCTCATTTTGTTGCTGATCGTTTCGTGTCGCGATGGCAACATATCAACCCCAAACATACTTCAACATCAACGGGAACTGTTTCAACGGGGCGATCTATCTCGGCAGCTGTTCATCATCATTCACGTTCTGATGCAGCATTTGGGGAATTATATATGCCATTTAATACACATAAACATGGTGGTTTTCAATAGCAATCACAGGCGTGGCGTTTCGTTTGAGGCGTCACGATGTTCTAAATGAAAGCGATGTTTCTGGAAGGGCTCAAATGCAAAATGCATGCATCAATATAAAAAATTAAGAAATGTTCTCTTAATAATAGTGAAACACTGTTCCAAAAAAGTTATACAACATTTGTACAAACATTATTTATATTGCATTAATGCGAATCTTCACAATGGCAGTATAGGCATATTAACTTTTCGGGTGCTTTAATTATGTAAAAACTGCCTTTTAAAAATAGAACTGGCTTAAAAATAAATTTTGATAACAGTCTAGTCAATTTGTTGATAAAATTAAAAAATATGTTTTATTTTACTTAAAATTTTAACAAGGAAACGGTCGTAATAACGACATAACATGGTAGGAAAGAGTTTATTAACTTTCGTGACAAAATCGTTTTAAGAGATTGTGCTTTCATCCATGATATTGCACTGCCTTCTCGGGGACGATGGCTAATCTATTTTTGTAGAATCGTTAATATATCAGTTAATGTCGCATCCTTAATTTATACGTGGCTCACCACTGCTTCACACCATAATTAACACCAATGAAGCTTTATCACTTTAATTTACTGCTATTTGAAGATTGAGAACAATTACAAATTGAGTAACAAAATTTTAAAAAATTATTTCTTACAAATTAAAATTATCCAAACGCAGTCTTCCGTCATTCTCAGTCAGATATAATAGATCTGAGAGGCACTGTTCACTTATCAACTCTTCAACACGTTCGTACATCTATACAAAGGAGTAAAAATGTCAATTAATAAAAATAAATATTCGACCAAACTTACTCCTTTCGCTTTGAATTCGGTTATAACTTCAGGATGTTTGAAGTTAGGTCCGAAATTCACACTTACAGAGGCACTTTTATGAATGGATATGGTTGGATAATATGAACCCCCATATATTTCTGTAAAAGCCACACCTTGACTTTTACCATTCTTAAAAAACTCTATTTTACTGCCTGGAAGGACTTGTAGGCCCTTAATTGTTTCCTGTACTTTATCCTTGTCTTCGTAATATAAATGTGATTTAAATTTAACAAGTGGCTGAAAACGTAAATAAATATATATTAACAGAAAATTATTTCTTTATGACATTGCATATAAGGACAACTTACTCTGTCCTTAAAAGTGTTGGGTAAGTAGCTGGTATCTACTTCATCGGGCAAATCGATTAGAAAGCCTAGCACGTCACCTTCCGCATAGGCGTCACTATAGTGTTTGCCATGACTTTCATGGAATCTTGTACCTTTACGCGAGCGCCACGAGTAACCGAATTTGTCATAGCCGAGTGGAGCCTGCAAGTTGCCATATTCTTGACCCCAACCCAAACGTGTTGCGGCACCTTCTGGCATTTCGTCCACAACGGCTTCGAAATACCAACGACCACGATTTACAGCTAAAAGTATTAGTACATATGTATACACATACACAATTGCATTTAGATGTATAATCAAATGACTCAGAAAATAAGATAAATGTATGAAATTTTAATACGCAAAAATTCAAATGCTTTTTAAAAAAGTTAATTAAGCTTACTTACAGTGTGTAGCGCGTGCCATACAATATCCCTTTTCTCCAGTGACAGACAAACGATCTTCAGAAATTTTCAATTGCGGTGCCCGATCATGCAAGGCCAATAAGACGCAATTTGGCACTAAAGTTCTATACAACCAGCCTGGTATGGGTTTGCCAGCCCAATCGGAGCTCTCATCGAATTCTTGCCGGAATGGAGCATGTGGATCAGGTTCTGCTAAAATGTAGCGGTAGCCATCCTTGTTGAAAGGGTGTTCCAATGGATAACCATGCGCTGGAAGTTTCACATTCGCAGTAATATCCGAACTGGGACGACCCTTTTTGCCAGTAGGACCAGAATCATTTCCGGGAAGTTTGCGCTTGTTTTGACGATTATTCTTCGTCAGAGAGGAAGCTAAGTATAGATTTTAAAAGTTGAAAAATGGTATACAAAAATGTAAAAATGTAATTATTTTGAACTGAATTCTTTTTGCGTATCTATCGAATGCCAATGGAATAAGGTCATGTAGAAGCGCAAAAGCGGCAATGGAATGTGCGCATACTTTGAAATTAGTAAAAAAAAAAGAAAGTGATACACACTGCTTAAATGATTAGGCAACTTCTTAAGTCCTAGAAAATCAAAAGTTGAAGAGCTGATCCAAAACATTATGACGCATTTTTCGATGGATCGTAAAGAAAAATTATAACGAACCCATTCGACCATATTAATCTATTCGTAATTACACTAGTCCTTGCGTTAAACTTGAAAATTTTCACAGATGGAGTCGTTCAACTTCATTATTGACGATTCAATATATTAATCTATCAATGCTCTTACGTACTTTCCTCTTCGCGGAGCGATACTGTGTTGTTGTCCATATACTCAGAAAGTTGCAACTACGTGCTCAGCAACGGCAGCAGCAACGCAACGAAAATGAATCGTTCAACCGAATCGATATACATCTACAATACAACACCACTGTCTACTGTATACAAAATTACATGTACGAATACATAAAAGCATGCTTCATAGCTGAATAATTGTTGTAGCAGATCCCAATAACAGAATCGCGAACAATGCAGCAGATTTCTGGCACAAAATAAACGTATATCTACCACATCTACCCCCTCACAACACTTTTCAAACGAGAGCTGGTGGTGGGCCTCGCCCCAAAATGACAAAATGCAGTGGGCTACGAAGTCCCAATGCAGTAATTAATCACAAACACAAAGGCCAAGAAGAATAGAAAATAATTGAAATGTTAGGTGATTTAATCAAACGAAACAAATTAGTAAATAGAAAGGGGGCAACGGACGAGTGTACAAAGGTGTCAACTCTAATGTGTACTTAAAAACTAAACACAGGGAAGAATATAAAAGGTAAAGGAGATATAAAACAGCAAATCTTAATTTAACATACGATATAATAAGTTTTTACGCAAAATAAACTGCTCAATTAATAATGAGAAAAAAAAAACAATACGAAAATATAATCAGTGACGACATGCAGAGTTTTTGAGCTTATTATGTGCACAAAATAGTAATTGTAGTAAGAGCGAGTGAGAGCAAAGCACGCGAATAGTGGCATAAAGCAACTAGCAAAACAAAAAGTTACTAGCAAATTGCAGATATGCCACTTTCCTCTTCTTCGCTTATACAAACGAAAATAAAATAAGTTTAAAAATTCCTCGCACTGCTCCAATCCATTCACGCACTTCTACTTACCTGTCCCGTGACCATCTTCCGATGTTCGTAGTAATCCGCTCTTACCCATGGTATCATAGTTCGGTTTTATTAGTGAAAGATCCTGTGTCACCAAACCAAACATCGCGCCAGTTTCCGAATTTTCTTCGTATGTGAACAAAGTGTTTACCTCTTTAACAAGTGAACGCTGTACTGTCGAATACCTAGAACGTAAATATTATTTATTTATCTCGTTATTTTTTTTTACTTATTTGAAATTGTACCTACCATGACTGTGTTACACGCCTCGGCATTGTAGTCATAGCTTCCCAGTATTGTTCTATATATGGGATGATTTCTTTATCTTTGCTAAATAGGAATTTGGAATTGCCCTCCTTTTGCGCGTTCTGTTGCATATTAGCTATGGCAGTAATGCACATTTGGGGTATTGCTGTAAATAAAAGGTACATATAATATTTCATAATTCAAGCTTAATACAAGAGTCTACCATACTTACTTGCTTGACTTTTACGAAAAACCTCTAGACCGCTTTGTGAGCAGTTTTTGCAGACGAAAACATAGTTGCTGATGAAGGGTACCAACTTTCCCAATTGATAACCAATGCAAGATTCATGAAACCAACGACTACAATTAGCACACAGTAGTTCAACGATATTAAGATTACGATCTTTCCCACTAAGAAATAAAATATATAAATATTAATTACAGTGTAGACATATACATATATACATATGTAAGTAAAGTGTGTCCTTATTTTTTACCAATAGCAAATGCCGGTGCTGGTGGCTGGTACAGCAGGTTTCTCATCCTTTGTGTTTTCCGTGGCACGTTCGCTGGAAGTACACTCGGACGCAGTTTCGGACTGCGAATTAGTATCAGTTTGAATTTCATCCATATTTCTAACAAGAAGTATTTATTTATTTGAAAACCGTACTTCCAGATAGGAATAAGCAAAATAGCCCAAAAAAAACCTAAAAGCGTCTGCAAAATGTTTGCAAAAGATGTATGCAATTGGACACGGACAAAAACTGGATAGGTATGTTCAGTAAGCAGACTAGAGGCTGTGTCAAAAAATAACGGCAAATATTTTGATGGGATGTTTTAAAATATAAGTAATCTGAAATAAGAAATGGAAAGTTAATATTTCTAAAAAAAAAAAATTATTTAAAATTGTATACATATATCATATATTTCAAAACTGTTTCGAGTTGGGTCGAAAAATTCAAATGAAAAGCAGTCACCTGCAACGTTGAGTTTAGTGTAGTAGGATTGCGTGGCTATGAATACTTAAAAATCAACACTGTTTATGGCTATTCACAATAAATTATGTATTTTTCAGTGCCAGTGATAATTTACTTTCTTCGGGCAACGGATGTAAATTTTGTGGTAATTCAATTATTTTATGTGCATTTTAGAAATGATAGAAAAAAATTCTAAAAACTTTTGTTATTATTCAAATGATACTACTTCAAATTTGTATATCCAATGATTTTCAATATTTTCTTAATTTCTAAACAATTAAAGTGAAAATCAATAAATACAAAGTATTTAATAGAAGCTCATGGGGGGTGTTGGGGAGCACTTAGTCCACGTTACTTTTTTCTTTGTTTGTTCACTTGGAGGCGGCGTATATCAACCATATGGGAGGCGTATGTGTCTACATCAGCATTGCTTTTGCTGATGTTGGATGCTATGAATAAGCACTATTGATTTTCGTTTTGCGTCAGAGCCATCAGCAAATAAAATCTGCTTTATATAAATATTATTAATATATGTCTATGCCTAATTTACATTAAATATGGACAACTACAGTGAAGTACACATTTTATTGAAATTATGTATATTAAAACAACATACATATCTATAGATTTAGGTACGTATGTGTGTGAAATTCTTCATGAGAGAAAACCACCAACTGTAAAGTGAACTCGGTACACGACAAAGAATAAAATTACTAAAAACAATAATCATTTGGAAGGTATTTTGATGAGTGTTCATATATACATACTTATATATGTATATAGTGGTTATCTCAGACTTAAGTCAATAAACAGCATACCATGTCATTTCTTTTACAACTAAATAAATAAGTGCATTTTATTTATGCACACAAGAATGTCTATAGCCACAGTGAATGGAAATTATATATTTACGTATGTACAAAATTTGGGTTTTCAAAGGGAGAAAAAAAAATTAATAAATTACAGTACTTAGTAATTATAAGTATGATTATGGATCTCTGCGTTTCTAGTTACAGTAATATGTGTATACTTGCATATTTAAATACGTGTGACTATATGCATTTAACATTACATATGCTAATAATTTCCTTATAGAAACGTATTATTTACTCTTACTGGTAAATATATATTTATTTTATATTTTTTTTAAATACAAATATGATACATTTTCTTAAATTGTATTCACACATGTACCCAGACGGTACAAGTAATATACTTCAGCCGTAGTATAAGCTATAACTATAACTTGCATGTAAACGCATACTCTTATATGTACCTACTTTTACATAATGCAGAGTTTCTCTATTAGCAAACCCCTTGTGATGCTGCAGAAATGAAAGTACAATTTTTTTTATAAATAGATAACACAAATCTGCGCTTATGAGCTACCGTCTACAAACTTATCGCAAGAAGTGATAAGAGACACTCGCGGTTGACATTGTTTATTACGGGTTTTGGTGTGGTATCATTTAACGAACTAAAAACGAGTATTGAAGTTTACTTAAGATGAATAATTAAATTTAACCATTTTTACCAACTTATTTTATAGTTTGCTTGAAGACTGCCTAAAATCACCTGAACGTTTCAGTGTTTGCTACGTGCTGAGTTCGAAATTTACAAAACTCTTCCTCTCGTCGTTGTTGTTTGCTGTGAAACAATAACAAGATGGGATCATTATTTCGGAGTGAGGAGATGACTTTGTGTCAGCTCTTCCTGCAGAGCGAAGCGGCCTATGCTTGTGTCTCAGAATTAGGTGAATTGGGTCTAGTGCAGTTTAGAGACGTAAGTACTTAATGCTTTGGCATATATAATTTTGAACGAAAAACAGTCATCTTATGTAAAAAATTTATACGAATTTATACGAATAATTACACTCAGCTCAACCCCGATGTAAATGTATTTCAACGAAAATTCGTCAATGAAGTGAGGCGTTGTGATGAAATGGAACGTAAATTGCGTTACTTAGAAAAAGAAATAAAAAAAGATGGTATACCAATGTTGGACACAGGCGAAAGTCCGGAAGCACCACAACCCAGAGAAATGATTGATTTGGAAGTGAGTTTTTGTACACATTCATATAATGAAGATAATAATAATAATGCCATTTAATACATTTTTAGGCCACCTTTGAAAAACTGGAAAATGAATTGCGTGAAGTAAATCAAAATGCAGAGGCTTTGAAGCGCAATTTTTTGGAATTAACTGAATTGAAGCATATTTTACGCAAAACGCAAGTTTTCTTCGACGAGGTAAGTTAATAATCCTAAAATAAAATGTATGTTTTGAATTATATACTACAATTACGTAATGCCATTAATTGCTAAAAAAAACTCCTTTTTTGATATAATGTATCGAAACAATAAATTGTGGCTTAAATCACCTTTTAAAAACACCTGGTATATACATATTCCATGTAATACTTTTACTTTGAATAAAAATATTATTCTAGAAAATTTTAAATAATACACTAACAAAACGTAATTGGTAATTGATTTACTAATCTACATATTTAAGTACCCACAACAAATGAATTTTCCAAATGTAATGCTTCCATAACCCTTTTAGGACTAAATATTGTACTCGCTTTAATGTGCAATAGTAATATGTTTTCAATTTTAACTTCAATTTGTGTTTTTGTTCGCCCCTCCCCCCCCCTGATAATGGCATATTGAAAATTTTTGTAAAATTATATAAAAAATAATAACCTGAATTAAATGTGCGCACTGATATTAAAAGAAGTTCCGCTTTTCCGTTCACTCTCATTTCAACTTGATGTTGTTTGATTGGATTCCAATTAAATGTCGGTTAACTTAATTACTTGCATTGTGCATACATTTTTTTTCTGTTATAACCACCACTGTGCAACTGAAAAGCAAATCAATTTAAATTTTATGTACACATAAAAATGTAGTAATTAAAAAACACAAATATACATTAACAAAAACCAAAAAGTAAAAAAAAAATACGTAATTGCCGCTCAACCATTTTATGATCAAAGACACACCTGCAAATTTTTCCATAACGAAAAAATGCTTACACTCAACTCAACTACACTCACATACGTATATACCTCTTAACAAATAATAGTAAAGTAGTTGCAAATCCCAACTATATTAACACACCCTTATCCAAAGTATACCACAAACCAGCAGCCACACATTTTCTACGCAGCATAAATGAGTTAATTTTTTTTTTGTTTCTACAAATAATATGTGCATTTTCCTTTTGTTACTGTGCGGTTTTAGTATACCTTTTTGACTGATTCAAAATTTCTCAAATAGTTTTATATATATTCATCTTTTTTAGTTTAGCATTCCTTTAGTGGTAATCTTTTTTATAAGTTCAGTTAATGTGTATTAGTTTTACATAAAATTAGTTTTGATTTTGTTTGTATTAAATTATTCTTTTTTTATTATTATAATATGAAATGTAAATATTTATGCACTGTTTAGTAGAATTTAAGCTTGTATATATACATTTGATGGTTGTATTAATTTATGTAGGTACATAGGTGTATGCATTATAATTTGTGTATAAGAAACTGATTGCGATTGCTACATTCCCTTCATATTTTATTAAATGCTTTTGATTTTGATGATATTTATACATATGTTTTTAGTGTCAAGTGGCTTGAGCGTATTTCATATTCGTTTTCATTTCACTAAACAAATTGAATGAAACTTTTGGTCATCGAAACTGTCTAATTTCAATTAGGAATGTTTTTGAAGATTTAAATAAATATAGAAAAAAAATTTAAAGCCCTCTTGCGTAAATTTGTTTTGCTGTATGAATTTAAAGATTCAAATATTTAAAAAAAAAAAATGTATTACAAAAATAATGGTTAGGTCTTAAATATAATTAAAAAATCAAACCCAGCACTACCTTACAAAGTATTCGTTTTAAATACACATTTTACAAGCCCTCCTGCTTAAATTGTTTTGCTGTTATCCATACATAACTCCGATTTACTGCCTGCTTACTGATATTGTATATACTCATAAGAAAACACTAGTTTAGGCTTTTTTAAAAACCATTTTTTTATATTCAATTTTCTGTTAAAAACTTTTTTCGTTTATTTTACCGTTATTTGCTGTTAATTTGTTTGAAACACCTGCGTTACGTACAAATAAAAAAATACCAAAACAAAAAAAAAAAAAAAAAATCACCTATTACACACATACGTGGCTACAACAAACGTGGAACAAACAACACGAACACGAACATACATATAAACATGTAATTGCTCTTCCCAAACATATGCATATGTATGTTGTCCTTTATCCTACCACCATCTGTAATCATTCCGATAAACAACAATCAAATATCCCAATCCCAACCCAACACAATCCCAATCAACGAACGTGCTTCCTGCGTCCAATCTTTTTCGGTTCTGTTATGCGTTTGTTGTTTTTGAAATGTAAAGACGGTGCCTACAGTTTCTTACAATACTTCCTCCTCCACTGCTACTTTTAAATCACGCTGGCGTTATGGACGGAGACAGATGGCCGACAATCAGAATGAGGATGAACAAGCGCAGTTGCTGGGCGAAGAAGCCGGCGTACGCGCCAGTCAGCCGGGACAAAATTTGAAGCTTGGGTAAATATGTAAAATGCAACAAAAAAAAGAATTGAAAAATAAAAAAAAAACTACCTGAAAATTGAATCAACAACAACGTAGCCATTCATGTGATGGAACAAGAAAAAATTTATTCTAAAAATCGTTATTTATTTATAATTTCACAATTTCGTAAAAGCTAAACTCAAAAACATATAATATTTTATTAAAAGAGTTTTATATAAAACGAAAAGTAATTGGTTTTTTTTGTTTTTTTTTTTTACCGTCAACTGTTTGCTGCGGACAGTACTCACTATAAATGCACTTTTGAACCTTTGCACCGTTGAATAATCTACATATGTGCATATATTAATGCAATTTAATATTGATTTCCGTTTTTGATAATTTTAGTACATTGTGTTTGTCGGTTAATTTGTATGCTTATTTGGGATGTTTTGTTCATTTTTTCAACTCATATATTTTTGTTTAATTTAAGTTGTATTATATTTGTGTATACATACTCGTAATACCTACATATGTCTCATTGTAAATACGCTGAGAAATAATGGAAGATTGTGTTTTTTGTGCAGTTGGTAATGAAAAAATATAATAATAAAACAAAGCTTTTACCAGCTATGCAGAAAATACTTTAAAACATATATGCATACGTACATACATCATGTGTAAATAAATATATATATATGTGTATATGTACATATACAATATGTGTGGGTGCGCGTCCTTGCTGATGTCCTTGATCCTACATCCTCTTGCTCCATAGTCGCTCAATTTACAAGTAATACCTTGTCCTCGTCGTATAAGACTCATTTCCTTTAAGAAACGGAAGTCTAAAAGCTTTAGTGTCTCTACATATGTACATAAGAGTATAAGTAAAAGTAAAGAAAATAAAGTGTCGTTTCTAATACAGAGTTACAGTTAAAAAATGCACATATAATTTGTTGTTGTTAGCATATGCTAATGTCATAATTGCATATACCCCGTATACATCCCTCATTGGACACCACTGCTGTTGGAGAGTCCATTGAACTTTGACACTAACTCGTTATATGTAATTTGAAATTAATTGTCAACCAACCGTAAGCGTAAAAGAGCTTCAATAATTGTTAATTCAAATGACTATTAGTGTTATATTGCTAACAATACTACCAAATTCTAACAAAAAATTATAATAATAATAATAATAATAGTAATAGCAATAAAAATCATTAATACCCAACAATCGTTGTGGTGATGGTGGTGGTGGTGATGACGATATTGATGTTGGTCATTAGACATTTTGAGGTTATTTACATACATGAAAATAACTTTGTTATTTTGTTTATCACATACAATAGCATCTATTGTCTTTCACAAACCTCTCTGTCATGGCAAGCAAATATATAGCATACAATTTGTATATTTCTTAAAATTTGTAGCAAGAGGGTGGTATCAATACCACAACTGAGTCGATGACACGCGCTTTAATCACCGACGAAGTGCGAACTGGTCACTCGATGGGTCCAGTTCAGCTTGGGTATGTATTGCTGTAGTTAAAAAAAAAATTAAAAATAAAAAAACTACATAAGAAAAAGAAAAACGATGCCAATAGCTTATACATTTTATAATAATATTAAATACTATATTTACACGTATTAAATACAGTGGCTCGAAATATTGAACTGAACGGGCAGTAAATGGTAAAAGAGTAATAAATAAAATAATTTTTTTTTTTCAATTTGCACTTAATGGTAAAACTGAATATTGAAATTTACCTAAAATAACATAAATAAAAAAATTTATGACGCAGGTTTTTACAGTTTGTACCGTTAATTTTACGTACAAGTTTTTTTCATTTTATTGTTTATTATATGTAAAGTAATTCATATTAAATATTTTAAAATGCCTTAAACGCTTATGCTGTATTTCATTAAAAAAAATTATTTTTATTGAAAAGCGTAATTTTAATGACAGAACTGGGTTTTGAACAATTTTGATGAAAATATTTTAGTGAATTAAGAAATTTTTATTTCTAAGTTTTTGAAAATTTTTTTATTGCATTTTCTACAATAATTAAAACTAATAAAATGTTGAAAATTAATTTATGTGTATAGTATTAGTACGCCATAAAAACCATGGTATTCTTATGTATTACAAGCTGAAAATTTTTTAATAAATATTTCATAAAAAAACTATAATATTTTAACTAAAATAGAAGTTATCATATTGTATATTTCGAGACACTGTAAATATATATATATATAGATATATATATATAATATACAACTACAATAGGTGAATGACACTAAATTACACTAAATTAATGAAATGAAAAGCTTACAAATAATTTAATATAATTAATAAAAAAGAATTAAGTGCATAATTGGCGGTTTTCAGATTTTCAAATAATTCTTTTTTCTCTTAAAAAGTTAAAAATAAAAACCATTTGCGCTGCTGCTAATCTGCTGTTGCTTCTTACGGCTTTAGCACTTGCTTTATCTCGGCAATTACTAATAAAAGCTGCTAAACAATTAAAAATCTAATTATATGTAGTATAAAATGCTGATTATTTTGCATGTTGTTACTACATGTATTGTGGGTTAATACTAAAAAAAATGTTGCTTTAATAATTTTTTTTCTAACAATTTTAAAATATGAGAGAAGTCTCCTGGCAATTAGTCATATATTATTATTGAAGGAAATCTCTAACCAAACTCAAACTACCGTTCAGTAAAAACTTCTACTAGAAATCTCAAAAGAAACTGCGTTTACACGCTTAACATTCCATTATTTTAAACTTGATAAGAGCTCAAGTGCACCTGAAATAGTTTTGTTGCAATTAATGTTAATAATATGCAGTGATTTTATATAAAACAAAATACTACTCCGCCATAAATACTTTTCTGTTGCATAATTTTGTCGATTTCGGAAATATATATTGCGGTAATATTTGAACTTATTGAAATCAAATTTAAAAATTTTAACCAAATGTTATAAAATTTAAAATAAATATATCTATTTTATTAAAAGAAGAAGAAAATCGTTAGCTTCACATACATATAAGCAAATTCTCCCACGAAAACTAAAACATTAAACAAACAAACAATAAACCGCCTAAACAATTTTTCAAACAAAAAGTTGATCAAACAAATAAATTGAGCAAAATTATTCTTCCATTCCATATATATATTTAAACACACACACACCCATACAATTGCGCTTAAAATGCGTCCGCTTATAGTTACTTGGATAAGACCAATGAACGTGAAGAATACCTGCCATGGTTTGTACAAAAAAATTTTGCCAATAAACCATAAACAAAAAAAAAATTAACGTTTATCATTCACTTAATAAAAATAAAATTTATTTTATTTTAAAATCCCAAATTCATTATTTGGTAGCAAAATTTAGATGCACGCTAGTCCCAATATCTGTAAATTCCGCTCATAGTCGCCGTGCAACGCCTGAGTGTATGCATTTGTTCACATACAAAAAAAAAAAAAAAAAAAAATACATAACGCCTGCAATAGTAGCCAAGGATCATCTAAAATCAAATAATAACGAACGTCCTTATTTATAGCTTATTTTTTAAACTAAATATTTATTAAAAATTCACATGCATGCGCAGAACATTTGTAAGCGAAATACACTTCTCATTCACATTTCATCAAAAATTTTTTTTCAATTTTTGTTTCTTTTATTGTTTTCTTATTTCCAAATATGCATATTTCTATACGTAAAAGTCACTTCCCCATTGCACCATTTATTTATATTTATTAATCACATGATTGCCGGTCACGTTGTTGTTAAAAAAAAAGAAGAAAAAAAAACAATAGAAGAAAAAGAAAAAAATAATCATAATAAAAAACCTGTTTCTTCGGTGCTAAAAAACAACGCTTAAACGAAGCATTTGTGTTTTTGGCCATTGACTTTTGGTTTTTACTGTGGTTTTTTTTTTAATTTTGTTTTTGAGTTCAGTTTTTGCATTTGTAAATAATCTACATTTCTACATATAATTTGTTTTTCTTTTTTTCACCTATTTTTCGTACATATGTATGTTTGTCTTATTTTTAAAATGATATCTGTTCATATGTATTAATCGCATTTTTCTTTCATATATTCGCTGAAGTTTTGTTGCTGGCGTAATTCTGCGCGAACGTTTGGCCGCATTTGAGCGCATGTTATGGCGCGCCTGTCGTGGTAATGTTTTTCTGCGTCAAGCCATGATTGAGTCACCGCTCGAAGACCCGTCGAATGTAAGTAAGACGAAAGAAAATACCTTTTACTGTTATTTTTTTTTTTTGGCTGTGTGTGTTGCTTACTCATGAGCGAAATATTATAATCGCTGTTTTAAAAAAAAAGTGGTCTTGTTTAATAAACATCTTTCTTTTAGTCAAAGATATGCGTTTAAAATTATTTTGCAATTTATTAGGCAATGAAATAAATGATGAAATATCCATTGAAGAGGCATAGTAGTAGGAGAGGGTGAAAAATATTCCAAAAAGTAGTTTTGGCCGGATAAAAATCCGGGTCGTTCCGGTATAAAGACCCGACTGTCGGGGGCACTATTGGATTTTAGTCGCCTCTATCGACAGGCATGCCTTACCTCGGGTGAATTTTGGAGCCCTAACCTAGCTAATAAATTTGTCGAAATGCGGTCGCCTTCGGCAAAAGATGTCAATTCTTATGAGTGAACTTCTCACGTGAAATAAAACCTATTTTTTAAAATTCCCCCTTTTGTTAAAAAAACACTTCTGCGGTTTTAACTTCCCTAGAACTATATAATATGCAGGGTTATGCATTTAGATAATTTTTTTTCATGAAATTCATTTTCTATTATTGAAGTTTGAACATCATTCAAATGACCTTCCGTGATCCGTTTGAGATAACGGTTTAATCGCATAAGCATAGTCTTTCAAGTCTTTCGTGTAGCCTCACAAAGAAAAGTCTAACTGAGTCAAATCTCACGATATCGGTGGCCGACTGAAAACACCAAGACGAAAGATTATGCGACCGGGAAATTTTTTTTCGCAATAAAGACATATTCGCTTGTGGTGTGTCTCCTCTTGTTGAGACTAAAAATTTTCCAAGTCGTGTTCTTCAATTACCAAAAAGAAAAAAATTGTTATCATACGTCCACAACGGTCCGAACTAGCACAGTGAGAGTCTTGTGGTTGCTCTTAAGGTCGGACCAAAAAACGCGGTACACAGCAATTTTTTTTCTTTTTTTTTTGTAAATGCGATAATTTTGCTTATTTACGTATCCCCCGAGGGATTGAGTGACTTCTGAGAACTGGCTGAGAAGCAGCCAATTGATACGTGTCAACGGCGTTGTCAATGGATAGCTGGATTCTGTTCTTGTGTGAACCGGGGTTTATATGGATGTCGGTATAAGTTAAATTGCAAAATACGCCATAATGTGCCGTAAGAAGGTCTCGGCTCTTGAGAACGTCGAGAAATAGACACATTCGGGTCTTCGGCTGCACATTAACTTACAGTAGCGGTATTTGATGGGGATCGTGCAAGACGATGATGCACAAGCCTTAGAATATCTGTAACCGATACAATCTCTTCAAATTTCTTTAAAATTGTACCAATTTGCTTGAGTAGGTGGCCGTTTATGTGCAACACAATGCCCTTCTTGAAAAACACGAAACGGAGCCGTGTTTGAATCCCCATTTTTGTAAAAGGGTTTAAAAAATTTAACGCATTATCAGGTAGTTAAAAGAAAACATTTTTGATCCGACAGTTAAGTTTTGCAGATGTCAAAATACAGTCCTGTACTTTTGAAAGCACGAAATGATAGCCCTGTATAATTCTATTGGAGCTTTGACGCTCATCGAGTGCGTGGAAAATTTTTTGGAAGAATCTCGGTTTGGGAAATTAAGCCGAACGACTATCAAGCGCGTCACACGTTCGGTGAATATGGCGAAAACGAGATGGTCACGAATCCAAATTTTTACAAATAAATTTTATTCAGCGATTAAGCTGGCTTTGGTTGAATGGGTGCTTTAATAAATGAAACTGTCGTGATCAAATCGATGGTAATTCACAAACCATTGTTGAGACGCCATAACGACATCAAAAAGTTACTGTGCAGTGTATTCTATAGGCAGATGGAATCATTGGCCCATATTTCCTCAAAAATGACGTCATAATGTATTCAGGTTTCGTACTTGAATTGGATGAGGTTGATGTGGACGACCTAGAGTACCAACAAGGCGGCGCTGCATGCCAAACAGCTAATGAAATAATCAATTTATTGAAGGAATCTTTAAATATATCGTGTGGCAGATAAACCCAAGATGATTGACGCCTTTGAAGATAATATTTATTTATATTAAAGCCAAATTCGTGACCACAGCATTAAATTATAAGTAGTTGATAGTAGGTTTCAAGCTAAGACTATACCTTAGTAAAAGATTGTTATAGGGGCCAAAAGAAGCTTTGCCGGCAGGGAATTAACTTACACCAATCTTATATAGTTATTTAGACGTACCCGTTTAGGCTGGTTTCTGTATATTTAATTTGCTCTTTATGTAGCCAAATATATAATTATTTAAAATGAATTTGAATAACACCTCTATTTATTTTCTTTGCAGGGTGACCAAGTGTACAAATCCGTGTTCATTATCTTCTTCCAAGGCGACCAATTGAAGACACGTGTAAAGAAAATTTGCGAAGGCTTTCGCGCCACTCTCTATCCATGCCCTGAGGCACCGGCCGATCGCCGTGAAATGGCTATGGGGGTTATGACACGCATTGAGGATTTGAATACGGTGCTTGGTCAAACACAAGATCATCGTCATCGTGTTTTGGTCGCCGCCGCTAAGAATTTAAAAAATTGGTTTGTTAAAGTGCGTAAAATCAAGGCAATTTATCATACCTTGAATCTCTTCAATTTGGATGTGACACAAAAGTGTCTAATTGCTGAATGTTGGGTGCCGGTGCTGGACATCGAGACCATACAATTGGCATTACGACGCGGCACTGAACGTTCGGGTTCCTCGGTGCCACCGATTTTGAATCGTATGCAAACTTTTGAAAATCCACCAACCTATAATCGCACGAATAAATTTACCAAAGCTTTTCAAGCACTAATCGATGCATATGGTGTTGCCTCGTATCGTGAGATGAATCCTGCACCATATACAATTATAACATTTCCCTTTCTTTTTGCTGTGATGTTTGGTGATCTCGGCCATGGTACGTTAATGGCATTATTCGGTTTATGGATGATACGCAAAGAAAAAGGTTTGGCTGCGCAGAAAACTACAAATGAAATTTGGAACATATTTTTCGGTGGCCGTTACATAATATTCCTAATGGGTGTATTCTCTATGTATACGGGTTTAATATACAATGATATATTTTCGAAATCTTTGAATATATTTGGATCACATTGGCATGTTAATTATAATAAGACGACGGTGCTGAATAATAAACACTTGCAATTAAATCCATCCACTGTTGATTATGAAGGTGAACCCTATCCTTTCGGTATGGATCCCATTTGGCAGGTGGCCACAGCCAATAAGATTATCTTCCAAAATTCATATAAAATGAAAATCTCTATAATACTTGGTGTAATTCATATGATTTTCGGTGTATCATTGAGTCTGCATAATCACACTTACTTCAAGAATCGAAATGCCGTACTCTATGAGTTCATACCACAATTGGTCTTCTTGGTAATGATGTTCTTCTACTTGGCTCTTTTAATGTTCATCAAATGGAATAGATATGCGGCAACCAATTTACGTAAGTACAAATCGTTATTTTGAAATCAGTTTTCTCAGTTTTTGTGAATTGAAAATTTTAATCGATCAAAAATTCTTTATTTTCATTATAATTTTAAATTAAATAGCGCCTTATTCTGCTGGCTGTGCTCCTTCGATTTTGATTACGTTCATCGACATGGTCTTGGGAAATACTCCAAAGACACCACTTGAAGGCTGCGAGTCGTATATGTATGCTGGGCAATCATTATTCCAGTCATTATTCCGTTTTATTGCATTGTGTTGTATACCGGTTATGCTGCTGGGAAAACCACTTAAAATTATACAGGCCCGCCGGCAAGCAAACGTAAGTTGAAGACATACGAAGCAATGAAAGTATTTAATTGTGCTTCCAGTTAAGTTTATCGTTATCATATATATGTACATACATCAGTGCACATTACTGAAACATCTGACCTGTCATTAGTTTTATGCAATGTTTTTGTAGCATCGTTTCGCATTCAGAGAAAATAAAAACTGGCAAAAAAAATTCTAATTCTTTTAAGCACACTTTTCAAAACATTCCATAAGCCATGCACATTTTTTTATTTTACAACTATTTCATAGAGAAATTGTAGAAAATTGTTTAATGATTTATAATGTCTTTGTTATTATTTTATACTTTTCCTCCAATTTCGGCATTTACTACCAAAAAAAAAAAATTATAACAAAACACTATATATTTTCCCAACCAAATAAAAATAAACTTACACAGGAGGAGGTTAGTTGTACTCGACGTTGTTAATATGTATTTATGTCTCAAATAGATTTACTACAAACTATTTTCTTTTACTTATATCAATTTTTATATACATAAATACGTGTAGCTTTTGCTTGATTAATTTTTGCATATTCAAATGTATACTTTTGGTTCATTTACAAAAAAAAATCAGCGACAAAATCTAACTGGCGCCACTAGTGACGCTGAAGTTGGCATGACCAATGGCACAGCTGGCGGCGGTGCTGGACACGGCGGTGGCGGTGATAATCATGAAGAGGAAGAATTATCTGAAATCTGCATACATCAAGGCATACATACTATTGAATTTGTATTGGGCTCCGTCTCGCATACAGCATCATATTTACGTTTGTGGGCACTTTCTTTGGCACATGCACGTAAGTTGAGAGAAAAAGATTTACACATGTGTACATATTTAAACTTAGACCTGTATGTAATTTTTTATTATTTTTATTAATTCTTTTTATCAATTGTGTTCCCTAGAATTGGCCGAGGTTTTATGGAATATGGTTTTATCGATTGGTTTGCGTCAGGAAGGTTGGACTGGTGGCATTATGCTGACTATAGTGTTCGCCTTCTGGGCTATACTAACCATTGGCATACTGGTTCTTATGGAAGGTTTGTCAGCATTTTTGCATACTCTACGTTTGCACTGGTGGGTTATTAGAAAGTAGTATCTATTGAAATGCATTAACATCATACAAAATTTCTCTTTTAGGGTTGAATTCCAAAGCAAATTCTACAAAGGTACCGGTTATGCTTTCCAACCATTTGCTTTCGATCAGATTATTGAAAACGGCGGTACTCCTGCAGTTGAAGGTGCAGAGTAAATCATAGGAAGCACTTTAATTGAATCATTTGAGGGACGCAACCAACATCGGTTGCGCCACATTTACAGCACATACAAGTGGAAGAATTTATGCACACATAAAGTTATAATAAATTATATAAATAAATATGTTAATGAATTTAATGTGTAATATTCACATATAACTGCTAGAGTTAACTTTAGTGAAATTACATTCGTATGAACACATACAATTGTATACATCATAATTTAATCATACACATATACATATGTACACGTAATGATTAGTAAAAATATCCATAACAATAAGGCTTTCGGTATGCATTCTATGACGGTGTGAGGCATCCTATGGGAATGCATGTGAAGAATTAAGACCGCCTTTCTACTTTCAAATGAGATTATCCAATATCTAACACACACATAGATGAATAAACACATTTTTTATGTTTCGTATTTAATAATTTTAAGCATTACAAGAATTTATTGCAATCAATAATATAATTTTAATATTCATCGACAAAATATACCACTCCATTAAATAAAATAAAATATATATTAACAGGAATATTTGAATTTAAACAAGTAGTTGCATTTCAATGTGTGTTTTTTTTATATAAAAGTAATTTAATTTTTTTTAGCGCAGTATGTTAAACAAATGTTTAGAGCTAGAACTATTGCTATTTGAAATGTTTGCACTTCACGTTCCTAAATAAAAATGATGCATTGCATAATAACAGCCTAAGACCGTAGTGCAGCAAAGTGAATTAGGAATATTTGTATGTTGTACAATAATAAATTCAAAAGTTATTTGATTTCTTTAAATAGTATAATGTATGTATGGTAAATGTTAATCAAGTACATTCTTTGTGATTTAACTGCTTATATGAATATAATCAAATAAAATGTAGTACAAGTTATGAATAAAAATAAAAAAAAAATAAAATCAGCCGAAAGGCGAAAAGATGGCTTTGAAGATTGTGAGCGAAATGCGTAGGGCAAAGGATTGCAACTGAAATACCTTACTTATTTCAGACTGAATAAAGCGCTTTATTTAGTTATTTTAAATATTGTGTGAAAAAAAGGCGAACGCAGTTCAGTAACAATTGTTAATGTTCATCAGCTCACTGAAAATACATATAATTCATTCTAATGCAAGGTCATTGCTTCAACTACCCATCTTACATGCTTTTCCTCCCGAGCAGCCTATCTTACGAGAGCGCCATGTAAATGCAAGTTGTCATCGCTTGTTGTTGTTGTTGTAATCGCGAAAATATTCCCCAAAGTACTTTTTGGGGAATGTTGCGAGAGTGACAGTCCTTGGCCGGATAAAAATCCGGGGCGTTCTAGTATAAAGACCCGACTGTCGCCTGACCTGAGAATTTTAGTCGCATTACTACGGGTAAATTCTTGAGTCCCTAATCCACAGGGATATGCCGTTACTGACGGTTGTCCCGCAGAAAATACACGTTTTTGTATACACTATTACGGTCGGATGATATGGCTGTGCGGTATGCACTTTATCAAAGAACGTATGTAACGTATATATTAATATACGTTCTTTGGTTCTTTGTAAAAGGAAAACTATTGTGAATGCAAAGTCCATTGTTAAGTGCTGTTTGAGAAAGAAGAACGAATACAAAACAAAATAAAAGCGCGCGGAAACATCGAAAATTTGTGCATCTTTTCGTCTGAAAAATAACATCTAGTTTGCTCAAGCTGCGAACTTAATAAATTTTATTAAATTTGTTTATACTATTGTGATGCTTTGCAGCAAAATGTCAGGGAATAGATCACCTCTTAGAAAAAGTTTGGATGGACGTAGCCACAACTCGTCTGGGTCGTCTATTGTTTCATTTCATGGTACCTGGGCACAAGAAATTGGAAATGATGAGCAGGATAAGTCTAGTGTATGTATATTTTGATAAATACGTAATTAACGTGGTTTAGTAATTAGGTACACTTTTTCTTTATTCATACCAACAGCATTCGATAAATAATAGCGTAGAAATGCAGAGCCGAAGTTGTCAAGAGGAGGAAATGAAATCAATGGAGCACTCCTCTTCCCAAGACCGTGAAATATCATTAGAATTCATTGATGGGGCTAATGAAGAAAAATTTGAACGTCTAGTAAAAGAGGATAAAATAAAAACACCTTTTAAAAGGCGTCATTCGCAAACACCAAGTAGCGGCAGCCGATCAAACAGTCCTAATGATTCGAATAGTGATAATGCCGCTACTGAAGATAAAAGCAGAAAAGAATTTCAGCACACAAATAACTGGAATAAAAATCAATACGAAGCACAGAAACGTCAACGATACAATAGTCATGGATCCAGTACATCGTCTAAGAGTAAGGAGAGAGAGCATGATCCGGCCGTGTTAGCGCGTCGTCAAAAGCAAATTGAATATGGTAAAAATACTGTGGCCTATGAGCGTTATATCGATTTGGTGCCGATACGCAAACGTACACGCAATCACCCTCGTACCCCTGATAAGTATGGAAAATATAGTCGACGAACTTTCGATGGCCTCATAAAAGTGTGGCGCAAGCAACTACATTACTATGATCCCGAACCTGCTGCTGGTACGGCAAATAATGGTGATGATGACGATGATTCTGATTAGTTACAATGCAAACATACTCACATACATACACATTTTCAAAAGAGAATACAAAAATTGTTTTCTACATGTTTTCATGTTACTCTATAATCTCTGTTGTAAAGAAGGCTCTGTTATGTTGTAGCATATTAGGTACTATAATTTATAGATTTAAGCTATATTTAAATATATAATATGTGGAAAACAAGATAGATGTTTGAAGTGTGTAAAAGGAGAAAAAAATTGAAGTTCCATTAAAATATTTTCCATTTATTTAAGTAAAGTCGACTTAATGTTTCTATGTATGTAAATCTTTATTCGTTTATAGTACTGGCTGCCGACTTATAAACGCTTTATATTTTTTTGCTATAATTGAAATTGGTTAATTTAAGCACAAATCGTTTTCACCTTTCCCCTCCTTCAGAGCAAATAGAATAAATTATACATATTGAAAAATATAAATTCAAATACAAATATGCTTTTATTTGGTCGGTAAAGGTCTAACGCTTTTGGGGATGGGTATGGTCATAGGCATAGACGAACTATAATAACAGCTAAACAGTTGTATACACATCTAAGGGTGTTATAGTTGTTAGAGTAAATAATATAACTGTCGAGATTTCGAATGGTTAAATTTCATTAGAGATAGAAAAAGCTCTTCGTACTCTCTCTTCCGACTGTGGTTGCTTTAGGTTAGGTTAGCTTGACCTGTTTAAATCCAAACTGCCTCACTTAAATAATACCACGCCCAAAGTATTGCCAGACACACAACATACGACCAAAGTCGTATTGGTAAACTCTTTGTTCCGTATCGGGTTTGCAGAATATTGCTGCTCCTTGCAGCGTATACCATTCGTCAAGTAAACTTAACTTCTACCTGCTGCCTCTGCGGAGTAAGAGATCGAGAATTTTCCCTCGGTAAGGCATTCCTGTCGTAAGAGGCGGGTGACATCAAAAGTTCCCGCGACAGTAGGGTTTTTATACCGGACCCGGATTTGTATCCTACCACGGACTGTCACTCTCGCAATATTCCCCAAGAACTATTGTGGGGAGTATTATTTTTTTTGTTAATACAAGCAATGTAAAATTCGCGTCAAGATCCCTTCTTGCCTAAATTTCAGTACATTTTACTTTTTTTTAATCAGACTGGTGGGTCCATAGCTACGTACTGTGCCCCTCGTAAGCGAACGACAACCCCTCTCTTTACACAAGAAAATCGCTTTAGCGGTTACGCCAAAAGATTATTACTATTAAATTTCAATCCTTTATTTCACCAGGTAAGAGAGCCCTGGTGCAACTCAACACATATATAAGATCGCTGATGTTATTGTTGTTCAAGCGGTTCGCTAGCCACATTTAGGGAACGGCTAATTAATATAAATCAACGAGGTCATCTAACGGAAGGCCAGGAAACGTGCTTTTTCAACGGGATCGGTCAGTTGGAGAGGGGGATTAGATGCCCCGAATTACGGGGCCTTTAACTGAAGTCTTCTTCACTCGTTCTTTCATATTATGCCTCCACACCAACTTGCTGTCCAATTCTATTTCCAAGTACTCAGTACCAAGGTTTGCCTGCAAAGTGACCCCTCTTAGCTTTGATTTGATCCCTACTTGAATATTGTACTTCCTTGTGGATAGAATTAGATCAGTTTAGTCAGTTTTAAAATTTTATCCAACGGAATTATTCCAGTCATTTATAGCTTCAAGCGACTGGTTTGCCAGAGGTGCCAAATACTGACCGCTGACTAAGACTGAAATGTCGTTCGCGTGAGCACTAAGCTTGGCTGCTTCCACTTCCGTCTTCATCACCAAACTATCGATCGCGAGCGCCCAAAGAAGAAGTGATAACACTACATAATGGATATTCCAATGTCCACTTACGTCACAACGTCTAATAAGATGCTTGTCTTATAGTATAGACGATTTTCAGAATAGTACAATCATATCGATCCTAACCTTGTTTTTTGCGTGTTTCGATGGCTTATCAATCAATTCTAATTGAAAATTAGAACACAATAACTGTATTTTTATTTAATATTTTTAGAGTTTATTTCATAGAATCTACAATACATTAATATGTATTAAAAAATACTTTGTGCCTTTTTTTAGCTCAAAAACTGTTTTTCTTTTCAAATTTCCTTACAACTAGTTGTCGTTGTCGTTTGTCGCTTGTGGCTTGTCGCTTTAAATGTGTGGATAACTTATTCGAATCTTATCAATAAAAGTGATGGAATTGAAGTACAATACAATACGTGTATTTTTGAATACAAAATATAATATTTTCTAATTATTCACGTTAATAGACGCTTTACGTTTCTTATTTATAAATATGACATACATATGTATGTATACATGTATGTATGTAAGCATGTAAATGGCAAATTGCAATTTCATTTTTGTCAATTTAATTAATAATCCAATTATGTATGTATGCATGATCAAACTCGTGCGGAACGTGTGCGTCGTGTTTGCACAATATTCACTACCGATATCAAGATCCAAAAAATTACAGCCAACCAACTGCCAATGAGTGTCATGTAAAGACAAGCGCCACTGTTGATACGCCCATACTTGCGACGTTCATATGAAATACTCTCCACCAAATAATCCATGAAATCGAAAATTGCGTCACATGAGAGGCGTCCCTTTATAACGGGCACAATGTTGCCAGCTCCTTGAATCTCCTTCACCAATGCTTCGCTATATTGCCTGCAAGTAACACGGAAGCCATCAGTGTAGATTGCGGCATAAATCAATGTGTAGGCGGCCATAACGCAGGAGATCACTGCAGCTGGTGTCCAGTAATATGGCGAAATGCCGTTATGCGTTAATTCTGATTCTGCTGTGACCACAACCTTGTCGCCGGTTCTGTGAATAGAGAGAAGATCATAAGTTTAAAGAGGAGAATGTCAAAATAAGGTCACGAAATGTAGATATATTGTATTTTGTAATCGATTTTCTTTTGCAATAATTTCGGTCTAGAATTAATAGTTCACTCATTAAGAAGGGAAGCTGATATTTTTTTGGTTGAACCATCAGCCGCTGGTTTGATTTGAAAAAAGTCTAAATTAAAAAATCTTTTTGAGGACTCTCTTACTAGCTATCTCTTGGATTGCTGTTTTGGAAATAGTAAAGCTCAAAAAACTCGGGTCTAGCAAAGAAAACACGTTTCTTGTTCAAAACTGGTTTTATATATCATCTTCAAGTGCGGCAATTCTTATTATTATTATTATTTTAAGTTTATTATTTTATTATTATTATTATTATTTTTGTTTGATTCCGAACACAAACCCGCTCAACCGGCCTAGAGGCGCGCTTGAAGGCTAACGAAAAGCCCAGTAGACTTATGAACCAAAAACAATGACAGCCCAGCTTGCCCTGGACTAGAGAGGGATCGCGGAAAGTTTATTGTGACATTGTGATTATGTACCATATTGCCAAGGGTTTGGAATAATTCCCTAGAGCAACCCATATATTTGCACTTATTTAAACTTATGGACTACAGACTGCTGATAGGATTATTAACAGGGCAAGCAATGCGTAGAGATAGTGGAGCACGTAATCTGTACGGCTTTCGGAAGACAAAGACTATGCATACTTGTCGCAGAAAGGCTACAGGATCTTCAATCAGCAATGACCAAGAGGCTAGAAAGACTACTTAAGCTCGCGAAAAGAACAGCAGTGCTCTTCACACCGGAGTCACAATGGTAGTGTATCGGCATGGCTTGCCTGTAGTGTGCCTGTAAACACTATGTATGTATGTGAGACCCACTGGGTCAGCCAGCTTAGCCTAACCTAACCTAAGAACGGTTTCAACATAATCATTCGACTTTTATACGGAAGAAGTTTACACTTTTTATACTCTCTTTTTGAGTTAGCTACTTTGGAGTTGGAGTCGGACGCGGTGTAAGTGGAGGTCCTCGGCCGATTGGTGCTAGACGGATGGACAGAATATACTGCCGACGTCGGCAAACCATAAATACTATTAGGGAATAAAGGACCAGCGTCGAATAGGTGATGTTGTTAAAATGGATCTAAAGAGTTTTTTTAATTGACCACCCTCTAGTGGTAAGAGGAGATTAACGAAACCTAGATTAGGAAGAAGAAATTTTTCTTAAAATGTTGTAGCATCTCGACAAGGAATGTTGATCCCTCTCTATTGTTTGAAAAAAAAAATTAAGATGCATACCATAAAATGAAGAAAGAAATCGTCCGAAAGTTGATTGGGTGGTTTTAAAACACATATGTATATATGTACATTAAATAGTATATTCATTTTGGTCCGAAGTATCTAAGTACCAGAAAAGGAAGTGGAAGGCCCATCAAAATATATAACGTTCGATTGAGAATGACGAGTTGAGTTGGTTTAGCCATGTTCGTCTGTCCATCTGTTTGTATGCAAATTAGTCATTCAGTTTTTGAGATATTTTAATCAAATTTGATACATTTATACGATCATTTGTCAGAACTCGTCTTGATATTTTGGGCCATAAATTTATCGAAGAAGCGATATAGATCACCCTTTACAAGCGTGAAATTTTGCATTCTGCAGACACATATGCTAATAAACATTGACACCGAAAATGATTGAAATTGGAAAATTTCGTTGTTGTTGTTGTTGTAACCACAAAAATACTCCCCAAAGTACTTTTTGGGGAATGTTGCGGGAGTGACAGTCTTTGACCGGATAAAAATCCGTGTCGATCCGGTATAAAGACCCGATTGCCGCGGGAACTATTGGATTTTATTCGCCTCTTACGACAGTCATGCCTTACTGCGGGTAAATTCCTGAACCCCTAACTCGCAGGGGGTGGAAAATTTCGTCATGCGTACTGCCATTCCGAAGGCCCGGGTTCGAGTCCTGGTCCGACCAACATCAAAAAAAAAATAATAATAATATTAATAAATTATAGAAAATTAATTTAAATTCAAAATTAAATAAAATTTTCTAATTGTGGTCTCCCCTCGGCAGAGAATGTCAACCTCTTCGAGTGTATTTATGACATGAGATAATGAAGGCTCTTCATAAAAAACGATCAGCCGTTCGGAAGCGGCTTATTATAAACTGGAAAAACATCAAGACGCAAAACCAGCAAATCGGAAAAGAAGCTCGATCGAAAATCGTTTTAGCGGTTATTATTATTATTATTTATATTTATTTTAGATATGAGAAATAATATTTAATCCTTTATGGAATAAAATAAATTTGATATGCTCGAAGGAGGTATGAAGACCATGCCCACAACTCTTTTCACTAAATATTCTTTTTTTTTTTTAATAATTCTTCAAGTATACACATACAAACGCACATATACGAGTACATGTTTTGTGAAAATATCTTCATTGCTATTCGCATTTTCCTCTCGTTGGCTTATTGTTGAATTTACCCTCATCAACACTTATGGCGTCAGTTCAATTTTTAAATGAGTGTCAATTTTAAATTAAATTTAATGCAGATCTTCTCCTACGCTCGCAAACCTATATACATACATACATATGTAAGAGTATATGCATACATGGGGTAAAAATTTATGGTTATTAACCTTTGACAAATTTTAAATTAATAACTGGCGAAACATAAATTATTAGATTAGCCAAGGCAACGATAAAAGGGAAGTAAATACCGAAGTACATATCATATGTTTGTATGTGTGTAAGACCTATTGAACTCAGAGCGTCAGAATTGCTTCGTTAAACAATTTTAGAACTATTTAGTGAGTTAACCCATATATTTTACTACAAAATATAATATTTTTTTTTTATATTATATATGTGTATACTGGTGGGTGTTCTATTTGCGTATATGTACGTATGTACCCATTTATATACACGTATGTCAAATTTTAATACCGTTATAATAGATTGTTGATTGCTCTATTTACTTCTGTGACTCATCGAAGCTTTTGAATTTAGTAAAAGTATTAGATAATATTGTAGCATCGGCCATAGACCCGTAAATCTTTGAAATACACTTTGAGTTCAATTCCATTCCATTTAAAGGTTTCCGATTCTGTGCCTTTCAAAGGAATCCAACCCATTCGTATTCTTTATCCACATCGCTTTTCACTTCTCTGACAATTTAGCAGACATTTTTAACCTCCTTTCGTCTGCACCATATAGATGACATTTGTCAATAAGGATTTTAGAACGGATTTTAACTGACTTTCAGGGGGTACGAAGCGAATTTGGGCCGAACACGAACTTTAATTTGAAGTTTCTTCCCATAATTAAAGAGATAAAAAGAACTTTTTCCTGTTAAATCGGAGGAGTTGACATTGTCTTCCGTTAATGTAACGGCAAAATTATACAGACAAATATATAATTGGCAATTTGTAATCGCTGAAGCGATATTCGACTGGGCTCCTCCCACTTAATATTTTTTCCCTTACATGTATGGAATTTCACTGTATACCAAGCGGCTTGCGATACACTCGAAGGGGTTAACATTCCCTGCCGATGAGGACCGCGGAAATCTTAACTTATTGTTTCATAATTTTTGAAAGTTTAGACAAACCAGGACTCGAGCCCTGATCTTTCGAATGGTAGTAAGCCCTGTTAACCATTTGGCTGTTACGCATATTTTAGCTTAAAATTTTGATATCAGGCGCGAACAAAGGAATTAAGTGAAGTAGCGTATGTTATTCAGCTATTCGTCCCATGACTTACGGGACTGTCTTTGCTATCTTGGAAGAGTTTTTAAGTTCTGATCAAGATTGTGACGTACCTGAAACCGTTGACAAGTCTGGTTTTGAATTTGAAGAAGACAGCAGTTCAGTTCTTTACCAAAGGCAAGTTAAATAACTTGGTAACAGATATGGATCTTTCTAAAAAATAGGCTCTTGATTTGCTTGGATATAGGCTTAAAAGAAGGTCCTTACTTTTAACACGAGTATTTTTCTCTTGGAGCAGACCAGTTGGTGTACTGCAAAAATATTGAAGGATTGATGGATATCTTTAAAACCTCATATAACCCAGCTAAGTGATTTAGTTCCATAAATTCTTAAAAAAAAGACTTAAAGCAGTTCTGCTTTGTAATGGCGGTTCATATGCTTCCGATGCTGTGTATCATCCCACATAAACACATATGTCAAGGAAACCAACAAGCTTGAAATTAGTTCTTACCTAATTAAAATATAAACATCAATCTTGAGCATATTCCTCGGACAATCTGTGCTTACTAAATTTCTTGGCCTTTTGCGTTTATTGGTTAAAAGACCGTAAAAATCTCTAGACCAAAAAAAAAAATGATTTTCGGGGAAGTTTAATGGTGGTGAAATGAACGTCTCGTTTGAAAATTTGGTATCTCCTGTTGCAGTTCTTCTACCATCGTTCCACATAAAGCTGAGATTGATGAAACAATTTTAAAAGTCACTTTCATAAGATGGATTTATTTTCAAGTACTTAATATCCAAATCCATAAAAGAAGGTAATTCAGTTGCACCAGATATTGGACGACTTATCTGTTTGATCCACATTTCATCATAACCATGACGGATCTACAAGAAGAGGAAATTGCCCAACAAATTTTGTATTTATTTATTTATTTCAAGTTTCAGGTTGGCTAAGAGTAAGAAAGAAGGATTTGAAGAATCCCTCAAAATCGCCAATTAAGTTTTATCCACCCCATAACCTTTGAAGTTTTGAATCAGGTTCCTATGAGGTGATTCTTTTTATATATTATATTGTATCATACATATGTAGGTATCGTTAGAAATAAACGATTGTCATAGGCTTCTCTTGAGGGCAATTTTTCACCAGCCAAATAATTCGAAACAAATGGTAATTGCTTGGTGCGAGGTCCGGACTATAACATAAATGCTTAAGAAGCTCCCAATCAATCTCTCGGAGTTTCCGGCGAGTCAGCATCGATATGTGGTCTCGTGCTAACTTGATGAAACACAATTCGTGTTGGTCAAAGCTGGACGTTTCTGGGCGATTGCTCATTCAAAAGGTCAAATTACTAACAATACAGATTCGAGTTTGGCCGTAGGGGAGTAGCTCATAGTGAACGATCTCTTGCCGATCGCACCAAATACACAATAAAACCTTCCTGGCCACCAACCCTGGCTTGGCGTCCGTTTGTGCTGGCTCACTGCCTTTGTACCACGGCCGTTCCTGTAATTGATTCACTTTTCCTCTCCAGCCACCATCTGCTTCAGAAACGGGTTGATTTTGTTTAAGATTTTGATAAGTAGCAATTTCCAGATGAAAATTCCGTCCATTTGGGGTTTTTTCTCGTTAACTAGTGTTGTCTCCCTACATCAAACTTCTTTGTGCATCCGGCTTTTTTCAAGTGATTCTAAACTGTATTTTGTACAATGTTTAGCGTCTTGGCAATCGAAACAGTGTTCGCATAACCACCAGACTCGGTGGTTTCCATTATTTTGTGGATATTTTCGACAATTGGCTCTCCATGCTGTGAAGCACGTTTACACCAAAAATTAACGGAATAAAATCGTAGAAACCAACAATGTGCCTGACTGACTGTTACAGTAAAAGGACCATAAACATAGTCATATTTTCAGCTGCCTGACTTGCGTGTTCGCCTTTATCGAAGAGAAGTTGCTCACACATTACTGAGTTAAGTGATCAACAGTCCTCCCATTGCCTTTTTTTATAGTACAAAATATCATCTTTCCAAAGTCATCTAGCGAAATCCAATCGCACTAAAGCCATCTATTGCAAAAATGGACTACTTTTTACTAGATCTCTATATAATATTAAATAATATTAATATATATAATACCGCAGCTTACGACTACTAAATAAGCCTAAATAATATATTTTTAATTTAATTATAACCAACTCACCTATGCCGTATGGTAGTGGTGCTCGTTTTCCGTTTTGTTGTGCCCATACAGATGCGGTATACATGATAAATGCCCAGTACGATGGCGAATAATAGAGGAAAGATCAATCCATATGTGGCGTAGTGGCAGTATGCAATGTGGCCACCTTCAAAGCTGGTGTAAGTCGAACGTCCATGTAGAATACAGCCACAATTCGATTCCGGGCATGCATTCAACACGTAACGCCAATGTGCCCATGCAATGCCCGATGTGATGCAGCAAATGACGGAAGAGGCAATGACGAGTGGATACAAATAGGCAAGCGCCCTTTCTGCGCCGTATGTCATGGTTTTTATGGATGCGTGTACTTTCTCGTTGTTAAAGCAAAAATATTTTCTTCAGTGATTTAAGTTTTTATTCATAAAAACACTTTTATTTAAGTTTTTGGTACAAAAAAAAAAAAAAATAGAAACCCAAATATTTTTATTTTTGCTGAAATGCACAGAAAATGAAAAAAAATAAATGTACGTTTTTTTTTTGTTAAGCAGACGCCAGAAGAGCAGAAACCAAGCAACGCCACACATTCACGCACATTTTGTATTCGGTATGCCATTCTATAGGCTGATAAGGTAGCTGCAGCGCAATGAGCTTGGCACCGCTTGCGCACCTGTATAGGTGAGTGTGAGAGTAGAGTTTGTGAAAAGGCAACCAAGCAATTTGGCAGGTAAGAACTGCGGGGTGCCATTTGTTGCAGACAAATTTAAAATTTTTAATAAACCTGTATAGGTGAGTGTGAGAGTAGAGTTTGTAAAAAGGCAACCAAGCATTTGGCAGGTAAGAACTGCGGGGTGCCATTTGTTGCAGACAAATTTAAAATTTTTAATTAAAAATAGTTTAAAAATTATTGAGGCAATAAAACAATTCATGAAGCATTAAAAATATTTTTTTTTATTACGGCCAGCGATTGCTAATAAGTTTTAAATAACCATTTTAACTTAAAAAAATATGTAACAACTCAAATCACTTTGAAAACCTCTCACACAGGTGGCAACAACTCCAGGTGTCTCGCTCACTGAGTCACTGCCCCTTTTGGCATTGTTTGAATGTATATTTATCTGTGAGTTGCTTTTCGTTTGTAGTAGTGTATCTATGTGTAAATACACTTCCAAACCACCTGAGCGCTACTTGGCTTGTGGTAAATGTATTTTAGCTCTTTCCACTCGAAAATATTAAAATAAAATGTATTTAAAAAGTAGAGAAGAAACAAATTTTACCACAAAAAATATTACATGCAATGCACAAGTAAATAAATTTCTTTTAAATGCACTTTAGTATCTCGCGTCAGCGCAATGAACTTCTAACATCGTAGTCGCAAACAAACTGACTGACTTGGCCACTTACCCATTGTGGCTTGTTTATCAACACAAATACAGCAGAGCGTGTGCTCCCAGCTAAGTTGAGGCGGTGGTTTTTTAAGTGAGCGTATAATGAGACTCTCGAACTCTTTTTAGCATGTGTCGTTTATTGAGTTATGACGTCACGACTGTGGCGAGTGCTTGTAGTTGTTGTTAGTTGGCGGTTTATTAGTAAACAAATAGCAAACACAGTCGCTTTGGTCAGTTTAATTGAAATTAACGCACAATTTACATGGAAGTCTCGCAGACATTGTCTTCATCATCGTCTTGAATGCGAGTGATTCATTCATTCATTCATTTATTCATCGCATTTGAATATTTGAATACTGCTGCCCCAACGAGTTTATGAGACTCATGAATAGTTTTCAGCGTTCTTTGTAACAGTTGCAATGGCGAAAGAGTAATTTAATTTTTTTTTTTTTCTTGCAAGATCTCATTATGATGAAGGAATTAAGGGAAATGGGTTGACCATAACTACAATGCTTACTTCGCTTTCTTATAGAAGACATTTGAAATTCCTATATATTGTGAATATAATAAAAATGAATTCAGCATGATTTTATGCATCTGCATGTCCCCCCACCTTTGAACGCAATTACATGTCGAAAGGCGGTCGGACTATATGCGGAGGGTCTTAGCACCTTCTATAACTCTTTTGCAGCGAATAACGCAGCAGGCGCAGTAGGACACTAACCATTCATTCCCATCAAATGACCTCGATGATAAAACACAGTCTTGCATGCGGCTTTGAAATCGCTGAAGTGATTTTCAGTCGAGCTCCTTTTTCAAGTTTTGGTGTGCGTCTTAATGTTTTTCCATCAGTTGAATGTAGCACCACACTTTTCTAAGTCGTCTCCGAACTACTGATGAATTTTAATTGGGATCCCTTATCAGAAATTCACTCGGACGGATTGATATTCTCTGTCGAGCAGTGACCGCACGTAGTACAAGAAAAAAGTGCTGTCTTCCGAAGTCGTTATATCTCTCATGACCATATAAAATTTGTGGTATCTCATTTTATTATTAAATATTGTATCTCATATCGGAAAAATTGCCGGAGGGAAGCCCAGGGTTTGAGTGCGGGGAACTACATTTCAAGAAATACTCAAGTTAAGTTTTTGTTAAAAGTTTTTTTAGTTGCAGCAATGAAAAATATTATGATCACTTTTTAAGCGATACAAAAATAAAAACAAAACAAAAAACACTCTCTGCGGCAATAACAAATATCTTATAGGTTATTTGTTTTGTTGAAAGAAGAGGTTGAGAACTTGAACGTGGGCGGCCTTACTTTGGCTACCGATCAAGACTATTTGGCCACGAGCATAAGCCACTCAAATGTTATTCTACCATGATTGATGAATTGTAATAAGTTCAGAAACTTCTGAGGATGCTCTGCAATTATCTGATTCACTGTAAATACACCTACTAAAATATTGAGTCCACTTTTGCTTGGTCCAGCAGTAATTTATTGCTAATTGTAAGATCTCCAGAATCTTAAGTGTCTCTAGGCATATTTTCATATATCTGGACTTTATATTAAAATATTTAGTTGCATTTAGTAGCTGTCTATTAGAAACTGCATTGTTTTCAATTGGCCACAATTTTTACTCCGAAGACAGAGTTGTATTCTTTGAGTGACAGACGATTGGGATGCATGCCCGAAGATAGTATGACAAATCATCCTCATAACAGAGTATTTTAGGTTCTGCGCTGCAAATAACTGGAGTAGTTGATTTAAAAGGATGCCGCGCGGTGTTTATTGTTTGATCCGATCAATACAGATCTTAAATATTTCATCTTGTCCTTGTCCACTAGAGGATACACTCTAATAAAATATAGTGCCATGTTTATTCAGCTACTTAAATTGTATTATTGGCATTAGCATCTAAAAGACTCACACGATGTAGAGTCATCCTCTCTGAAACGTCATCTGATACCGTCGCACACGATACGCACAATAGGACCTAATGGGTGCGCAAATAAGCAGAATTGTCGATTTTGGAGTGAAGCTCAACCAGAAGCATTGTAAGAGCTACCAATGCGCCCAGAAAAAGTCTCAGTTTGAGGCAGTTTATGGGCTGGTGGCATCATTGGGCCATACTTATGCAAAGATGAGGCGAATCGTAATGTGACTGTGAATGGTGGCGCAACCGAAATATGGAATCCAACGTTTTTTTTGTCTCAAATGCAAGAGTTTGACATGCGTGACATGTGGTTTCAACAAGACGGTGCCACATGCCACACAGCACGCGTAAGAATGGACTTATTGAGAGGCGAGTTCGGTGAACATTATATTCCACGTTCGGGACCGGTCAATTGGCCGCCTAGATCGTGCGATTTAACGCCTTTAGACTATTTTTTGTGGGGCTATGTTAAATCTAATGTCTATACAGACAAGTCCGCTTCAATAGACGCATGGGACGCAACATTGAAGCATTTATTTGTGAGATACCGGTAGAAATATTGGAAAGAGTATGCCAAAATTGGACTAAGCGGATGGACCATTCAAGGCGCAGTCACGGTCAATACTTGCATGAAATAATCTTCAACCATTAAATTATATGTACCGTACTATCGGTTCAAATAAAGATTTCATGAATTTTTCGGAATCTTAAGTGTTTTTTTTTTAAACTTTCCTATAGCTCTTAAAAAATCACTCTTTAGAATGGATATAGTACACATTGGCTCTTACTGTCGGGTATGCTTTCGTTTCAAAATATTCCGCAAGGAAACCGATGCACGCATATTGGCAGCTCTTTATATTTGGTTGGCTCTGCCGTTAAGCCATCAGCTTTGTTGTTGCGGGCAATCGCTGTTGATAATCAACATCGGTTGGGTTTCGGGTTAGTCATATTCGAGTGAAGCAGTTTCACTGCCATTCAGCCGGCTAGTCATCGCTCACCACATTATCACTTTAGTTCCTACACGAGTATGCTCTGGTCCTGAAACCGTATGTTAGTCGCCTCATCTTTTAAATGAATTTTTGAGCATTACCCATATCGGCCAGTTACTCAAGTTTATCGTATGCATCTCACTTTCCACTACAGCTCTCTTTATCTATCCCACCCACAAGTGTTGTGGTCGATGTCGACATAGCGAATTTAGTAGACTGTTTTATCTCCACTGCAGTTCGACACTATTCATCGTACCAGCTCCTTTTTTAGTACTGCCCAAAACCAATTGTCTCCCTAGCGACGGTATGTAGGGAGTTTAGGTTTCACAGTTCCCTTATATCGAGCTGTTGATGAGTGCTCTCAGAAAACAGATGTGCAAGTTAAGTAGAAGGCCGTTCGGCTGTCTCTTGAATCTTTATTCGACGTTGAACCTTCCTTGTTTTTGTTGATGTGCGTAACACAGATGCGAGTGCGTATTATTGATCCGTGATACGAGTTGATGTTAGGTCTTCGGTACGTACGCACATCTAAAACATTTATTACATGTCGTCCGTCAATCACTACAAGATCGATTAGGTAGCTTAAAGTTCAGTGAGATTCTCAGATTTATTCGCTTCCTCGGATAGTATATGTATATATTTTCATAGACCTCCGTAAAAGAGATAATAAATTTTATTAACAGCAAATAAGTCGAGCGTATTTCTGCGAATTTTTTGCTGGCATTAATGTTAAGGCACATTTAATTTAATGGGTTTGTTTCAATTGTTTACACGTACTTGAGCCAAACAATAATTTGTTTTCCCATAAATTGGGGTATATGTATGTATGTACGAGTACAAGCGAAATAAACAATTTGAGTTAAAATGCAACGCCAGTCAGCAGATGCTTAATCAATTTATGTACGAGGGGCGACTTCATACCACTGAAAGAATATTCTTTAGAGTCCTCATCAAAATGGGTTTCTACGGCCGCTTTCATCTCACTGTCGTCAGAAAATCTTCCTCTTAAAAAAGTGAAAAGTCACTGGGTGGACCTGGTGATTGTAGGGTGGATGGTCAATTTTTTAAATGCAGTCTCTTGGCCTCACTCAACAAATTGGCGTTATACAGGCCGTGCATTAAAGTTACTTTTGGCAAGTAATCGCTATCCCAGAAAATGGCAGCTCTATCTTTGACGCTGACTTTTCCACTTTGAATTTTTTTTGTGCCCTTTCCCCTCTTTTGTCTACTGCATCGACTTCTGTTTGGCTCGGGATCATATTCATGAATCCAAGTCTCATCAACTCCCACAAAGCGATTGAAAACTTCGTCAAAATCATCTTGGCACAACTTCAAAAAGTCTTTACAACTCTACAACCTGAGCGTCATGAGCATTCACGGTACCCAACAGGAACTAATTTTTCAATTATTCAAATGTTTATGCACCATCTCTCCAGTTCGTTCTTCGCTAATCTGTAATTCTTCTGCTAACTGCTATAATTTACAATAATTCTTCGATCAGCCAGTATTAATTTTTCGACTTTCTGAATATTCGTTGGGAAAACGTCAAGATGAAAACTCACAAATTGGAGAAGGAGTTAGGCCGTAAATCGCTTCGGCAGTTACAAAGCGTCAATTATAAACTGAAGCGATTCTCGGCTGAGCTTCTCCCCAAACAAATAGAGGGACCTATAGGTTATTCTTAGTAGGCTCCGAGCGACCGCAATTAGAAATTTTAATTTTGAAGGTCGGTAGAACCAGGACTCGAGCCATGGCCTTTCGTCATAAAATATTACTCAACAATTAAAGGGTGAAATCCTAAAAAAATTTAAAGATTTCTTCATTCACATCTTCTTTATACTCGTATATCGGAAAGTTCTGAAATCGATTGTCTATCATCTGAAATATACATATATCTCCCTTCCGCTTTTTTGCTCTTCATTCAATGCTTTATAAAAAGTGTTACAGTGATCGGATTCAGTTAAAATATGCGCCGTTTTGTTCGATGATCTGTTTCCATCTAGACGGAAACTTCATAATACCTTCCTCGTAGAAGCCCCCCTCCTTATTTGCGAAGAATTCGGACAGCCACTTTTCACAAGCCTCTTTTGAGTTCAACTTCACACCACCAAGGGCATTCGCCATGGACAGGAACAGGTGGTAATCACTTGGCGCTATGTCCGGGCTATATAGTGGATGCGATAAAACCTCCCATCCGAGCTCCCGTAGCTTCTGGCGAGTCATCAACGAAGTGTGTGGTCTGGAGTTGTCCTGGTGGAACACTACACCCTTCCTGTTGGCCAATTCTGGACGCTTCTGGTCGATCGCCTGCTTCAAGTGGTCCAGTTGTTCGCAGTAGATGGTAGAATTAAGCGTCTGGCCATATGAGAGCAGCTCATAATGGATGATTCCCTTCCAATCCCACCAAACACACAGCAAACCCTTCCTGGCCGTCAATCCCGGCTTGGCCACTGTTTGGGACGATTCACCGGCCTTCGACCACGACCGTTTTCGCTTGATATTGTCGTATGTGATCCGATTTTCGACGCCAGTCACCATCCGCTTCAAGAATGGGTCGAGTTCGTTCCGTTTCAGCAGCATATCGCAGGCGTTGATTTGGTCCAGAAGGTTTTTTGCGTCAAATTATGCGGCACCCAAACATCAAACTTTTTTTGTATCCAGCCTTCTGCAGATGGTTCAAAATGGTTTGGTGACTAACTCCCATCTTCTGGGCGATATCACGAGATGCCATATGCCGGTCTAACTCGATGTATTCAATGATTTGATCTGTATTTGTCGTCACAGGTCTTCCGCCGGCTGGCTTATCCATGGTGTCGTTTTCACCGGCTCTGAATCATTGAAACCATTCCTCCGCGGTTCGAAGTAATAGAGTACCATCTCCCAAAACATCATTAATCTCATGGAACGTTTCTCTAGCGGATTTGCCTTTAACGAAGGAAAACTTTAAAATAGCGCGAATTTCGGCGTTAGTGAACTCCATGTTTACACGTCTATAACTGTTGAACGCAATATCCAAACTAATCATGCATAGCGTTGTTTTGTAGGTTATGTCAAGGCCTTTCAAATTATGTATGTATAGTGTTGTCAGATACGAGCTCTGTAGCGCGGAAGGGAGATATTTGACAACCTAATATATAATAGGCGTACAGGAGTAATTCTTCTGGTTCCAGTATTGTTTTTGAATACTTTCGTGGCTTGCTTTGGGAAGAGATGGCAGAGAAATCGGTATATATACCGGGTGCTCCATCTTTTATGTCGGTATGTAAACGCTAAATATCTTCCACATTTACCAACCGAGGGATTGCATCAGATATGTTTTGGGAACGTAAATTCAGTACAACTTTTGCCATGGATCGCTTCTCACCGAAACAAAGCGCTGATATAGTGACACTTTCCATCGAAAACTCACATTCCAATGTCTTAACTCAACGTGCATATCGGAAAAAATATCGCGGCAAAAAGCCACCATCTGACAGGTCACTGGATTTAACCCCCCCGGACTTCTTTTTGTGGGGATTTTTTAAAAGCAAAGTTTACGCCAACCAGCCTCAAACTATTGATGAGCTCAAAGCAAACATTAGTGCTGAAATCGGCGCTCTCGCACCCGAGATGCATGGAAAGGAAATAGCAAACGCAGAAGAAGAGTCATTTTGTAATTGATAATAAAGGTAGTCTCACTTAATTGATATTGTTTTCAAAAACTAGTCCAAAAAATTGTAAGGAACCAAACTGAATAAAAATATGTGACTCATAAAAATCGGTTGTTTTTTCCTCAAAGTTATTCCATGTCTATACACAGACATAAAAGATGGAGCACCCTGTATTTACGAAATTTGCATCCTAATTTATGATCAAATATTCGAGATACTGTAAATTTATATAGAAAAAGAACTAAAATAAATTATTATCAGACATAACGGCGTCCTAGTGGCGCTGATGTCTGTTTGACGCGATCGGCATGATCTTCGCTTTTTGGGCAAATTACAAGTACATGTACATTTAAGTAATTATATATATATATACATATATATATATATGTACGAATATGCATCAATATAACTTTGTGTTTCAAGTGTTGACGAATTGTTTGGCGGATGTTAGTCACAAATTCCTTTTGTTAGGGCACAAAGCCATACAAATCGGGCTAAATTGTGTAGATGAGGAATATGGCTAAGCACAAAGTTGTTTAAAGGCATGTGCGCAGAAATACATAATGCTTAATATGCATGTACGTATGTTTATTTGTGCTAAATATGTATTTCAAATATTTGTAAAAAAATATACATTTGTGAATTTGCACCGACAAGTTGAACATTCAGTTGTTCGGGATTTTTAGTGCAGCCAACATCATCATGGTTGGTTGATTAAGTTAGAAAAAAGATTTCAATGCAATTAAATGCTAAGTAAATGCAAAAAAAAAAATATATATATATATAAAATAAAATTTAGAATAAAATTGTCTTAATTGTGTATTACTTTTACGGCGTGTGTACTGAAACGGTAATTACTTTTAGTGAAACTATAAAAAAAATAATAAATTAATTCAAATGTGTGTGTGAGTGCTTGTGTTCAAAAAGAAAAAAATCATTAAATGAGCAGTATTTAAATTGTCACTAAAATATGTGTAGCGAGACGCAAGTAATTAACTGTGTGATATTGAAACTTAGAATAAACGATTTTTGGTTTTTATTTGAAAACAAAAAAAATGAAAGCGTATAATTCATATTCTTAAAACACCCATTTACCTTTTTATTGGCCCGGAATATTTGTGCATGAAAATAGATCATTTTTAGTACCTCAAATTATGTGTGATTGCCAGCAAAATAGTTCAGCATTTCATATTTACACAGCAGCACAAGGGTACTTGTATATATGAGTACACACATAAATACAACTCATTAAAGGTATAAATGAGACGTAATGAAATGAAATTGGGAAAAATTTGCAACTGTGGTTTCAGAAATTTTTAATTTTGTAATGCAAGTGTGGTTTGTTTATTTAATATGTATTTTTTTTTTAATTTAAAACTCTGACTTAAAATTAAATAAAATAAAATATAACAAAGGGTAAATAAAATAATATAAAATAAAATAAAATAAAATAATATAAAATAAAATATAATAAAATAAAAAATTAAACAAAACAATAAAATAAAATGAAAAATAAAATAAAATAAATGAAAATAAATAATGAAAGATAAAATTGAATCAAGAATAAAATAAATTGAATTAAAAAGAAATAAAAATAAAATGTAATAAAGTAAAGTATGATAAAATAAAACAAAATAAAAAATTAACAAAAAATAAAACTTCACAAAAATGAAATAAAACAATATATTGAAAATTGAAATAGAATAGAATGAAGATAAATTAAATAAATTACATACCGAAAATACTAATGAATGAAAATTATTAATAAAATAAAGCTCAATATAAAAAATAAAATAAACTAGATTTATACAAAAATCAAATATAATAAGCTAAACAGAAGTAAAATAGATCAAACACAACAAAATAAAATAAAGAAAATAAACAAAAAACAAAATAAAATAAAATACAATATAATAAAATTATATCAAATAAGGTTAAACTAAAAGTAAATAAAATGAATTAAATTAAAATTAAGTAAAATAAAATAAACTCAATATAATATTACAAGAATAAAAATACATTAAATTAAATCAAAATAATCAAACGCTGAAAATTGTGCTTGTCTACTTTAACGCCAAGGTGGGCACAGCAGGTATCCTCGGCACAACTGTTGGTAAATTCAGTCTCCACGACGAAATACCCTCAAATGGGTTGAGGCTGATCGACTTCACCTTGGCTCAAAATGTGGTTAGATTCGAGCACAAGAAAATTTACCGAGTTGCTTGCCTCTGAATCAGATCGATCTTGTTGTGATAGATGGAAGACATGTCTCCAGTGTTTCTCATGTGCGTATGCGCCGAGGATTCTAAACGGACTCGGACCACTATATCACAGTCTGTCAACAAGGGAAAGTTCGAAGTTAAAAAGCTGCAATCACAACAGATAACCGAGCGATTTTCTACTCAAATTACAACCCTGCTCTCGTCAGCAAGTTGGTATAAGAAAACTGCGGGACGGTATTTCAATACCCCTATATATAGCTGCAAATGAAACTATTGGTTTTCGAAAGACGCATGTGCAGAAAAAAAAGTTAAGTTGAATACAATATACGTGAGTATGTAGAGCTTGAGAAGATGGCCCATACGGATAACGCTACGAAAAGATACGGCGACTAACAGATGGTTACAAAACCGGAGCCAACTCTCTGTAGGAGAGGTTATCTAGTGACTAATTTCCAGAATATACTGAACTTATGTAGGGAACACTACTCCAGCCTGCTGAAGGGAACACCAGAAGATGGTGAACCCGATTTCACAATCGATGACGATGGAACAGATGTTTCATTGTCTGACTATGAAGAAGTTCGAATAGCAATTGACCGCTTGAAAAACAGCAAAGCTGCGGGGGTAGCTGAACTGCCGGCCAAGCTATTCAAATAGTGCTCTGTGTACGCTTTACACCTGGTAAATCAACCATTGACCAGATATTCACCATGCGCCAATTCTTGGAAAAGGCGCGTGAAAAGAGGGTAGACACACACCACCTCTTCGTCGATTTTAAAGCAGCCTTTCACAGCACGAACAAGAGATGCTGCAGTAAAGAAGAAGAAGAAGAAAATGAAATAATTTAGTAAAAATGTAATAATTAAGTACTAATAATTTTAAATATAATAAAATGAAAAAAAAAAATGAAATGAAAACATATAAAATAAAATTAATTAAAGCAAAATTAATTAAAAAAAAGGTTAATTAACATAAAATTAAATTGAATTAAATTAAAAACGAAATAAAATCAGGAAAAAGTAAAATATTTAAAAAAGAGAAACATAAGTTAAATAAAGTACAATAATATACACAGTTTTGTACAAAATTTCAATATTTAATTATTCTTTGAAGGAAATCCACTTACGCATAAGTATGTACATACATCAATTGCTTTAGTCGAAGATTTATGTATATTAATATATTTTTATTTATTTCAATTTGTCTTTCATTTGTTCATATAATTTTTTGTTGATTTGCCAATACTCGTGGCCCATTTCCGGCAGTTTTCATTCTTAATTTTTTCAAATGCGAAATTTTCGACATATGCTGTCTATAAATTAGTCATTTTAGTCAAAATAGACTTTCGTTCGTTCGCTATGAATTTTCCTAAAAAATTAATTAACCCTTAAATTTTGAGGAATTCGAATGCGACTTAAAATAATCACTTAAATTCTTATGAATTTTTAAAGATTTCCTCTTAATAACTTTGCAATGATCAATTTCATTAAGTCTAGAACTCATAATAAGGAAACCCAAGAAGCTTTCACCGCATCAGAAAATTATACAATGAAAAAGTGAAACATGCCTCGGATGAGATAACCCTCTATTGATGACGACCCCCACAAATGTTCTAAGGATTACGATTTGGGGGGCAGGCACCTGGAATGTTTGGTCTTTTAACTCGGAAGAGGCCTCTGCCCAGCTGGTAGATATTCTCAAAAAATTAAAGGTTGACATCGCCGCCGTCCAATAAGTGTGCTCTGCCCAATCCTTAAAAAGGGCGACACCACAATATGCGCCAATTGCCGTGGGAAAAGCCTCCTCAACATGTCGTAAAAGGTCCTATCAAGCGTATTGTGTGAAAGAGTAAAGCCCACCGTCAGCAAACTAATTGGACCTTATCAGTGTGCCTTTAGACCTGGTAAGTCAAACGTTGACCAGATATAATATTTACATGCGCCAAATCGTGGAAAAGGGCTGCATATACGCCGCTATGTCTGACGTTGGTACCTCGGCATTTGCGACTTTGGGGTCGTAGATAATTTCGTCTATCTTTTAATCAATGTTAACACCAACAACAATGTCAGCCTGGAGATTCAACGCAGCATCAATCTTGCCAACAGGTGCTACTTTGGACTGAGTAGGCAATCGAAGAGTAAAGTCCTCTCTCTGCGAACGAAAAGCAAACTCTACAATCGTCGACCCCGGGGAGTCTTCGAGAGAAAAGTTTTGCGAACGATTTATGGTCCTTTTGCGCATTTGCAACAACTAATACCGCAGACGAAGACGAACGATGAGCTCTACGAGTTATATGAAGATATTAAAATAGTTCAGCGAATGAAGAGATAGCGGCTACGCTGGCAAGGACATGTCCTCCGAAACAATGAAAGCACTCCAGCTTTGAAAGTATTGAATGAATTACCCGCAAAGTCGCGAATGCCGAGGAATACGAAGACCTCCACTCCGTTGGAAGGATCAGATGGTTTTACTTGGTATTTCACTTGGTATTTCAAGCTGACGCCAAACACCGAAAAGAACAGATGAATGGCGCGCTGATATTGATTCGGCTATAATCCTGTAAGCGGTGCCAACGCCATTAAAGAGGAAGAAGAATGTCTGCCTTGAACTGCAACCTAAAATCAAGTGTGTTTGCTCTAGGGGTGCTCAAACGAAAGGTGTTGCACAAAATTAATGTCTCACGGTCATGCTGCCTGGATGGTGTAAACATGTAAACACTCTAGCTTTGTAGGTTCTCTGCGTAGTTCCTTAGAGATAGAGATAGAACTTAACACCTACTCAAATCTCTGCGCTTTCTATGGTAATGACAGCTTTTATGAGCATCTCGGCTATAAAATGTTTGTCATCCGTGTCGCCGTAAAAAATAGGGCTCACCCTTCAAGCATTGGTGTTTCGCCTGTTATGCCGGACATGCAAAAATCATTGAAAAAGCGCTAGCCTAAGACACACGCACACTGCTAATGAAACTCAGGTTTTCATCCCAAATATATTTGTGTGAAGCTAGACGATGATAATTATACAAATCGAATCCTTTTAGGTGCAGAGCGGAAATAAAAACGTTTCTGCTGCCCATCAAAAAATGATTTAAAGTTTAAATTACGTATACGCCTTGCTGCACCTTGTCATCTTTATTCAACAGCAATCGAGTTTGTTAATTTTCTTCTAGCTAAATCGCGCTACTCTGACCTGTGATGGATAATTGGAATGTTTTGGCAGCGCAAACCTCCTCCTCGGCCATCGGACGCGATGGCATTAATTTAGCATCAAAGGAGCATTTGGTGAGTACAAACAAAAACATAATAAATGAGTTCATACAGGTGAAATGGGTGAAATGCCACGTGAGCACAGTAAGTGAGAGTCGTGTATCTGTATCTCTTCTATATCACACAACTTTCGAAATTCACGATCACGACGCTGAACGCGCTCAGCTTTTTGGGGGTGTTTGATCGTATGCCTACTGAAGACAACAACACATTCTTGTTGTTGGAACTTTCAACGAAAAAATAACTAAATAGTTTTTCACTTTTTTACATACACACATATTTATGTACTCGTACATATATGCAGATGAAGATGAGCGCACTTACATATGTACATATAATTGTATGTTTTAGGTGAAAGGGGTGCCGCTTTTGCTCTTGTTGCTGTTGTAATTGTTGTTTTAAAAATTCAAAACAATCTCTCAACTTATCTAAAAATAAAATACACTTGGCGCTCTTCTTCTTTGCTATTTACTGTAGCGAGCAGCATGGAGCAACCGTTAGTGGCAGCGGCAGTTCGTAGGAAACATTGTGTTCGCTGTGATTTGTGTTTGAGATTCTGGGACTGAAAATTGAGGAAAAAGGCAATATTTTTTACATAAGTCATTGGGAAAGCAATTGAAAGTGTGGTTTTGAAAAATTTGGATGAAAAACCAAAAAAAAAAAAAACAATTTAAAATAATTTCTAAAATCAAATAAAACTATTAAAGTGCAATAGTGATTTAGAATGGATTTATCAACGGATATTTGGGGTCAATTGGCTGTCGAGGCATCGCAGGTGTACCTGTCCGATGGCACCGTGCGCACACCCTTCGCCGATACGGTATGATAAACATAAAGTTTGCAGGTCAAATATTTTACTATAAAAAGTATATCAGCGTAATAAAAAAAGAAATATCAAATACTACAAACATAAAAATGTTTAAATAAACATCTACATTTGTATGTTTGTATGCATGTACGCAGGCATATATGCTATTTTTGTGCTTTGACGGGGGTGCATTCAAAATAAAATATTTTTTTTCAGTGCTCTTAAATGCAATATATTTTCACAAAGTGTACTAAATTATTGTGGCAACCTTGAAAAACATTTTTTTTTTTATTTCAACCTCCTTAAAACCTTTCACATTTTCAGACCATCGAAAAATTGCCCGACAAAGTGTTGCTGCACATCTTCTCTTACCTCTCGCACCGTGAAATTTGTCGTTTGGCACGCATCTGCCGACGTTGGCGTCAGATTGCCTACGATACGCGCCTGTGGAAGAATGTCTCGTTGCGTCCGGAAGTCTCTGGCTTGCATGTGGGCTCCTTGGAGTCGCTGCTCGCACTCATCTCTGTGCGTTTCGGACCCACGTTGCGTTACATTGAGCTACCGATCGAGCTGATCACGCACACGGTGTTGCACGAACTCTCCGCCAAGTGTCCCAATCTCACGCATATGCTGTTGGATTTCTCAACAGGTGAGTCACAATACACATATGCAACATATATTTAATACTTTTATTAATAATTAAATATTCGTCCTCTCTGTGCAGCCATGCAGTTGCATGATTTCAGCGAAATGCAGGCGTTCCCCACCAAACTGCGTTACATGTGCATTTGCCTGTCGGAGGTGATCTTTATGGAGGGTTTCATGCGGAAAATATATAACTTTATTAACGGTTTGGAGGTTTTACATCTCATTGGCACTTATGAGAAATGTGAGGAGGAGGAAGAGGAGATTTACGAGGTTATCAATGTGCATAAATTGAAGTCGGCTACGCCGAATTTGCGTGTAATCAATTTGTATGGCATCAATTTCATTGACGACTCACATATCGATGCATTCAGCTCGAATTGTATTCAACTGGAGTGTTTGGCTGTGAATTTCTGCAACAAGGTTACGGGCAGCACTTTGAAGACATTGATACAACGTTCGAAACGCTTGAATTGCTTGCTGATGAATGGCACCAGTTTGAAGTCGGACTATGTGATGCAAGTGGAGTGGGATAAGTGCGCACTGCAGGAGCTTGATATTACCGCCACTGATTTGTCCACCGAATGTCTGATTGATCTTCTGACGAAAATACCGAATTTGAAATTTCTGTCGGCTGGTCAAATTAATGGATTCAATGATAGTGTATTGAAGCAGTGGATGGAGTCGGGACTGACGAGGTGAGTAGTCGTTCGATTATATAGCGTCAGGCTTAGACACGATTGAAGTGTTGGAGCTAGATGAGTTACTGCTGAAGACCTTTATGACGTTTCGATGGATTAAGTATTCTTATATAAAAACATAAGACTTAAGGTGGGAAAGAATCTGATTAGCCACTCTGAAGCTTTGGATTTTTTGAATTTTCGATAACTTAATCTCAGTTTTTAGGATCCTCATTTAATTTGTGGTGTGCGTCTTTGCTATTTTTTCCGGAAATCGAAACCTACGTTTTATTCTAAGCTGCCTCCGAAGGCTGACGTCTTTTTTATAATTTTAAACTCAGAGGAATTGACCTTCTGTCTAACGCGGTCCTAGGAAGCAGGTACTTCTATCTACACGGCTACTGCGGTCGATGTTGTCTCTCAAATTCCCTTTCTCTTGACGCTTACTAACAGATTTACTATTAAAAGGTATATTTTACGATAGTTCAGCTCCATATCTTGGACTACTAACCCACTCCTTTAGATGCTTACTCGGAGTAGAGCTGACTTAAGGCACTTCAGGAAGAAAGTCATAGACTATGCAGGCTTTGCTCAGTAATGTGTAACATAGGGTAGGGATCAAGAATTCAACCTCACGGCAAGACCCGCCTGTACTAAGGAGCAACTAAAATCCAATAGTTCCCCGACAGTTGAGTCTTAACCTATTTTTTAGCCCGCCAAAGATGGTCACTGTCAAAAAACTAATTGTGTCATTTTTGCGGTTACAATACCAATAAAAATATGCTACCTACAGAGCTTGACCGCGGTTCACAGAAAGTCACTCAATACCTTCCTTAAAGATAGTGGTAGAAACTTAGCGCTTACTCATCCAGGCTCGACCTTGACATACCCAACATATGACTAGCAAGCAATAAACTACACTTCCTCCGTCTCTTATTAGATAAACTCATTGATTTAAATAAGCTTGGGTTGTTCCTAAGCGAAGTTACTTAAATGACACTAAAACCACGACTACAAAAACTTCGAGATTTTGTCATAACGCAATTAAGATATGGATTCTGCAATCGACTAAATTCCTATCTATCCAGACTTGATACTTACATACCCAACGTATACCCTGCCTACAATGAGTCCCTCACCACGCTAACCACGTCTTTGCATGCCTGTTCAAGCCAACTTATCTCATTTGGTCCGAACCCGTCGAAACAGCTCGTTTCTTGCACCTTCCGTTAGTTAACCTCGATGACTTAGACTGATCTTATCTGCTTCTAAGTGGGGTTAGACTTGCCACTATAAGAACAATAAAAATAGAGTTTGCCTCGCATTTTGAAGTCTCCTTATGTTGCCTGCACATCACAGTCTCCATCCTTTCCCATGTAAATTTAAAGTCCACCAGCCCAAAGTTTTTGACTCTCTAACAAACTAAATTTTTGACTACCTCGAGCTTGGCGATGTTAAAACAATTAGTAATGGTACTTCCGAGGACCGTACGACGCTTAAAAATATAAATATACAACATATCACTCCATGGTCAAGAGCAACTTTTTCATTCACAGATCTCTCATATCTCTGGACTTGGACTCTTCCGATAATATTTCCGATGAGGCATTACAGAAGTTCCTAACACGCCATGGCGGACAATTAGTTGCTTGCTGTCTCTCTGGCATGCCACATATTACGGATCAGTTGTGGATGAGCATACTACCAGTGTTGGGCAATGCAAAGTAAAGATTTTTAAAAAATTAATTAAAAAAAAATTATTGACTAAATTTTCCTATAATTGTGGTTCGAAACAGAATCATTGTTATGGGCACAGCAGAAAAGCTCGGAGTCAACATACACGTCGATCAATTGATGGACACGATCGCATCGAATTGTGGTAATTTGGAGCGCTTGGAATTGAGGTAAATTGAATTGAAATGATTTTTTTCTTGCTTAAGTGCATTAAAAATATTGCCCCTTATGCATTTCTACCATAAAATTTGTTCAGATGGGATCCGGATAATTTGCGTTTCTCGGATAAGAGTCAGAAAGCTATTGATTTGCTGCGTGTCAAGTGCCTTAAGCTGCGTTGCATGGTGTTGAGGTGAGTTAAATGTTTACGATGTAATTTTAATTTTCAATTTGAAATTTATTTTGAGAAAAATCATTGATTCTTACTTTTTTTTTATTTCAATTTCTGTTTTTGTTTTATTTTTGTCCAGTGACGGTCGCTATTATGAGACGGTGAAGGCAAATTTCGAGCGCGCTGATCGTGTGACTGTAGTGCGCACAACGACTTGCTGTCGCGTCTCACCTTACCATTTGCTGCGTAACTACAATGAATTGATTTTCAATTGAAGCAGAGTTGGAGCGCAAATCGTTTTTTCGTCGCTTTCTAGTCAGCATATTTTCTTGTAAATTACTCTTTTATATTGCGATTTGTATTTTTTTTTTTGCTAATACCTTGATTTTTGGCTAAATATTGCCTTTTAGTGCGTTCAAGATACGTTAAAATTTTGGAAAAAAAATTGAAAAATAAAATAAGAGTTTTAGAAATTTTGAATACTCATCAATGTAGTACGAAAAAACTCGTAGTCTTTTAAGAAAACAAAAAACGCTCCTTTTAACTCTTTTAAATTATATAAAATTTTAGACGCATTCATTCAAAGAATCTGGTAATTATAACATCAAAAAGGCAATGGTTTACAAATAAATAAATTGCATACACGTACAATCAATTACTGGGACAAGAAAATTACGTATACGCACAGCCGCACCAGCAAAGCTAAGCCCCTTAATTGGCCAATTTTATGCCATAACAATAATAACTGGATTTTTTTTTTAATTACGCACTTTTAATTGAATTGCTAAAAATCTTTGCTATCATAAACTATGTATGTTTGTATTTAATTTTTGCACTATTTAAAACTTCAAACGCACACACTACATGTGCGTTATACATACACAAATGGTATACGCGGAAACAATGTAACAAGAAAAAGCACACTGCAAACAGAAAAAAAATAATAATAATGCTTTTACCCACAGCCAACTGCAGCCTGGAACGGCATATTAAAGATTAATTAATTAAAAATTAAATACATTTAATTTTCTCTTATTATTTTTTTTAAATAATATACAAAATTATAGTATTTATTAAATTTAATTTCGACTAAATTCTTAAATATTTATCGTAATAATATTTTCTTCTTGCATTTAATTTTTTGTTAACAATTTGTGTAAATCATGCACGAGTGTTGCATACATTTTTGCATGTATATATGTATGTATATGTGCCGTGTTTCTTCTGCGGACGTATAAGTGCATACATATGTGTACATATATCAATGATTTTATTATGTTATTGTAGGCTCGGTGTACCTGTTGTTCACACGCTACAGTGACTAACTTTTTACATAATAGTTTTAACTGTATGTAGATTAGTATAGTTCTATTTACAAATGTTACAATTTGTACAATATCAAGGCGCAATCGTCCTTGTATGTATTGCAGCTGCATTTGTTGGGGGCGTGGAGCGTGAGCGGTGATGAGGTGTGTACAATGGTGCCATCTGCAGCAGTGCACTTTATTTAGTGTGACCAAACGGATATTAATTTATTTCAGGACACTGACGATGCCAACATATCCGCTGTGGTATCAGTGATTGTGGTCGAGCGTGTGCTAAAACTTAACTAACATTTTCTCTGCGCTTGTACCCATTAGCTTATTACTCTATCTCTTCAGAGTATTTGTCTTTTTTATACATTATGTTCTTAATGCATTTTTTTTTTTAATCGGTTAAAATATTTTTGCAATATTACCATATAGTGTATATTGATATATGTACTTAATATTTACTTTACATAAGTACACACTAGTGATCCCAAAACAATCTGCACACTGTTTGAACACTTTCATGTCTTTTACTTGTTTTTTTGCTTTTTTTTTGCCTATCACACCCATCCCGATTTTCACATGCAACCCACATTCAACATTACGTTTGCATATTTTTTTTCTACATTTCGTTTAATTTACTGTTTATGCTTTTAAAACTATAACCCAAAAGTTTATTCCTGCACCCCAACATCTTGTGACACTCGAAGTGATTGTGTGGTTGTATTGCTGGCAGCTGCTGTGGCTACCGCGGCTGCAGATGAAGTTGTCGCCGCTGCGCTAGTAGTTGTGGCATTACTCGCTATTCTAGGTGTTGAGCTGTTGTTGTGATCCTCGTCCATTTCATTCTATACGAAGCGGCGTCGAGAGGGAGAGAGAGAGTTAAAAAAAAACAATACGAAAATTAATATCTAATTGAGTGAACATACATTGTACAGATGTATGGGCGCAGCTGCTGGACTCTCTGCAGGCGTCTGGGCATCGCTGTCATCACTTTTATCCGTATACATCATGATTTCATGACACAGTGGGCAACGATCTTGTACGTACAGCCATTTTCGCAGACATACACCATGGAAATAGTGGCGACAACGTGTAATTTTTGCTGAATACATTTCCTATTAAAAAGTTAAAAAAAAAAAGTTTATTACATTTAGTAAATAATAACAATAGTAAATTTTATTACCTGATAACATATTGCACAAACATCATCGAAAGCGTGCAGCTGCGCCGGTGTTGCTTCGGGTAATGCTGAAATCTTGTGTACGGCCGAGCGTCGTTTCATAAACACGGACCAGCCGGCTCGTGCCTCACACCAAATGTTGAAGTACGCATGTATGCACATCATGATGGCCCGTATAGCACCGCCTATAACATTTTCGGCTATCAAGTTATATGTTTTTTATTATATAGGAAAAAAATAAAACTAAATAAAAACAGAAAAAAAAAATTCATAAACAAACACACTGAAGGCTTTGTTTGGTTTCTTAATTGGATATGAAGGACGCAACATAAGGAATGAACAGAAATAATTAAATGCATGAAGAAATCAAGACGAAGGATATAAATGCAAAAAAAAAGATGAGCATAAATGAAGAAAAGAATTAAACTATATTATATTTTTGTATGTACGGAAGTTATGAAAATATTTTTAATGGATTTTAGTTAAATATGTTACACTGATGGTTTAAATTAGAAGCTAAATGAGTGTAGGCATGAATTTTCCTAGTACACATGTACCCCAGTAATTAACAATAATAATTCGCCTACAATAACAATGTCAAATTTTAACTCCAATACATTGCAGCGCTGAACTTCGAACCATAACATTCAGATACAAATAAAACCAACAACATAAATCATATTTACAGCAGGAAGACAACTTACCAGATTCGAAAATTAATATCCAAGCACCGTTAAAGAAAAGCAATATACCAAAGCAAAACTCTACAGAATTACCAAAGGCGCGCACATAATATAGATAGTCATCAAGTTTTTCCCAAAATGTTTGTCGACGCGCATCGAGCAGAAATAGCGTGTACGTGGCCAACGAAACGAGTACCTATAAAAGCATAAATATGGATATAATAAAAGAGAGTAGTTTCATATGAGTTGCTACACACTAACCTTAACTACAACTTCAACGGAGAATGCAGTAACCGCTAGTAACCAAGTGGATGGCGTATGTCGCGACCAGAGCGCCGCCAGCAAACAAATCGGTGTGGCAACAAGAAAGGCGCAAACAGTCAGAGCGCGTATATGACGTTTTCGCGAAGGATTACGCGCTGCACTCAATGACATCAGTATCGGTGATACAATGTTATGTAGGAAATGTAATAAAGCTGTAATCAACAAGCATAAATTGCGACATAAACGTACAAAACGCTTATCGGGTGCCAATGAAGTAAGACCCGTCTGCAAAGCGAGTATGTAGAAGAGTACAGCAGAAACAGTGCCCAATGACTTCTCCTCATCGTTGTCGAATGTGAGCAGGTACCACTGGAATGCGCGTCCAATGTAATGACAGATCACCGATATAATTGATGTCATGCCCAGCACAGCGGTGAGCGTTTCACAACCATCGACTAGTAATTTTTGCATGGTGGGAAAGAAACTTATTGTCGTTGTACTATCCGACAACAATACGATAGAAATAAATTCTTGACCAATTCTATTGGAGAAAGAAAGCAATTGACGTATTAGTTTCCACTTGAAAGAATATATTTCGTTGTACTCACCTTATTGTCCAAAAAACGCGCAATACACTCGGCACATTCAAACGTTGCCATTCATTCTCGATCAATGCGGATAAACCGAAATTCGAAACAAAATTCATGGCATATTGATAACCATTATAGACGGTTTTCGCAGCATCATACGCACTATTGAGCATTGTGGCCTTTGTCAGTATTAGTGGTACAGCCCCAGCGAAGACCGGCAAATCTTTAATCAAACGTGGCGGTAATGGCAACATTGCCAACAATATAGGACTGGCAAATACGACTGGCATAATTTTCTGTACAATCCGATAACGTGGCCCCAAATGTACGTAGGCAAATAGCATGCCCATAAACCACTGAGCTACTAGATGTGGCACCAGCGACATAGCAACTTCACCGGTGTCTAGCAGGCGTGTTCTATTAAATGATAGTAAATCTTCTAATATACATGGTGACTTTTCCATAAGGGTAAGCGCAGATACATTTGACCAATACGATAGAAATGTTAAGCCCAGCGATATCACAAACATATATACCATCACCAGATATCGGGTCCACAGCATAAATATGCAAGCAGCACTTAGAAAAACTGTAAAGGGAGTTAAATAGATTAATGGCGATTTAAGTGAGCAAATAGATACGATTTTTTGGGAAGAAATTCTTGGAGAACTTTGTAAAGCTGTCCATAAAGTACAAGCCTTTAACAAAATACATATGCACTTTGGTTTCTCTTATAAAAGTGACAAATATGCAATTTTATGCATTGGAATACAGACGCACGAATCAAGTCTCCATAAAAAAAGTAAAAAGCAAGCAGCACAACATTTTTAAATATACGATTGTATACATATCTGATGTGTATACAACAATTTAACAGCTTAATTATTATTTTTAAGTGCCTAACTGTGCTATATAGAGGTCGTTCATTAAACTTACATCTCAACTCCTCTATATATGAATGTCGGTATGTATATATTTATGAGCATATTATCGAAGATATTTTTTCGCGTTTCGTGTAGACAATTCATTGCTCTACTTTTACCTTTTCAAGGTTTTTAAAAAATTTTCATCTAAGTTTTCACGTTTTTCTTGATTGACTAATATATATATATATATATATATATATATATATATATGTACAAACTAACACTACTATCCAACTTATGTTTGTTATTCAAAACAAGAGATATGTAGGTATAACAACAAATTCGTTGAGTCATTATGATTGAGTGCATTTGGAGTACGGTGAGCGCAAATCACGCGAAGAGCCAGGTAAGTACAAAGTTTAATAGAGAACTTCTGTTCTTATAATTTTCGAGCAACGTACTTTTAACAATTTAACCACTCCTGCATCGTTAGTAATTTTTTTCTTTAATAAAATTCTTGATTTAGTTATACTGACGAAATTGGAAAATACTTACCTATTAAGCAGATAATAAACTTCACCGATGTTATTGACAATACATCCGAAAGAAATGTATCCTGCGCCAATTCATTCATCATAACACCAAATGTACTGCTAAGTACACCACTCGTTGCAGCTGTTGTCGATGCATTGACTATGGCGCGCTCTAGTGGGCTATCATCACTGCTGCTGGTACTATTTAAAAGGCTGGAATTGATGAGTTCCGGAAAAATTATTGACGCATCAGTCGGCATGTTGGTGTGGGTCTGTGTATGATTTTCTGTGAATTCGGCGGTCTGAAGTAAGTTGGAGTCCGTGGGCGTGGGATAAAAACGCGTTGGTAGCCCCATACTGATTTTGAGTACCTCATCGATGACCAATATGGGTGGTACGCGCATCATTACGTCCACTAAACCGAGTACTTTCGTGCGCACAGACATTTTTTACCGTATTTTGTGTAAATAATTTTTGAATTGCAAAAAGACTGCAGGTAGTTGATAAAGGAGCACAGTTAGTGGGTCAGTGACCAATGACGTGCAGTTTCTTTACCTGCAACTGAACCTGTCGTCGTTGTATTTTTTTTTTTTTTGTTTGATAACAAACCTTGCTTTGTGTACACTGAGTTGTTCTCAGGCTACACTGTAGTCTGGTGTAAATTACACTTTCAATATATAGTTGTTGTAATTATATACTTAATTTTGTTCCTTGATAATGTACAAATTTCGTTGCGATTTGCAAAATTTGCAAACGATAGTCGTGGCCTTATCGCAGCCGTAGGTGTGTTGGTGTTCACACTTTAGCCTCCGTTATTAATTTACTGTGTGAAGCACAGATTGTGGACGAATAAATTTTTGCACTTTTTCGTTGGTTGCAGCTCCACTACTGCCCAGTTGCCCAGCACCAGTTGAAATCTCGTTCCACATATGTGCCTAACTAGGTGTATTCATTTACTATATTATTTAGTTGTTATTTTGAACGAGGAATGCACAAAAAACTCATGCAAATGTTTTTATTCCTAAACCAACCAAAACTTTACTTTCCTTTTTCAACGTCGTCGTGAATTATTAACACTTCTTCTTGCTTTTCGTGTCGTAAATTGACTTTGTAAATGAAAATGAAAAAGTTGTCTTTTTCTTGTTGCTCCTAGAGAAGACCCAATATTGCTATCTCTGCTTGGCATGTGCGTGTGTAAGTCTGTGCGCATTGTGAATGACAGTTTTGTCAGAGAACGTATAACATAGAGAAGGTGCAAAGCCAGCGTTTCTGACATTTCTGGCAGAAAAATTTCGTTTCGTGTAATCGTCATTTCCTTCTCGTCTTAAATTTCTGTTTCACCTCGATATGAAAAATTAACAGAATTGAGCGTATTCAAACACAACGAGAACTGAAATCTATGCAAATGTAAATTAACAGCCGCTTTTATTTACTTTTATCATATATAAATGACCAAATTGAATTCAAATTTGAAATCATCAATTAATTACTGATAAAATTTTAACAATTTTTTATAAATGTGTATTTCTTAAGGACAGTATCATTTGTTAATGATTTTAATTTCTTTTAGATGACCTTTTGCATGTACATGTGAACATATACTCACATGCTTATTATGTACAAACATATGCATATGTGAAAACAAATTACTCCATCCCTCTAGATACTTCTCTTGTCTAAAAGCTCAGAACTGAAATCAAATACAACAATAAGATTCTCATTCATAGACGCCTGCGCCCTACAACAAATCAAAGTGCGTTCATTCATAACGAGTTGCTTCTTTGCTGCGTTGACAAAAAAACAAAAAATCGGAAGCAAATATGGTCGCGGAAAGTGAGGCAACAACAACATACAGTAGTATGCATGCCCTTCTTCCTTCGACCCATAACATTCAAGTATTGCCCACAAGCATTTCTTCAAATTTTTGCCACTGACAAAAATTCAATCATCGCCTGCAGAAATGTAACAAATCGACATCGTGCTACTAAATTTGCTGTTCGCTTGTTAGCTCATATTGCCCAGCAAGCAATTTCCTTGCCTTCCCGCATGCACCCTGTCCACAAGATAAGATGAGATTGTGTGTGGCAAGGATTGTGTTTTAAATTTCTAAAATATTCTAAACATTCCAGAAGATTCTAGAATATTCTAGAATATTGATTTCAATAAAGAAAAGTAGAATAAGCATAAAAGCAACAAAAACAAGTAATGCATGCAAACCCCTCTTTCCTTCAACTCTTCATCNAATTATAAGTATAATGTAGATATTGACCTGCTGAAAACGATAGTGAGGATATTTCAATTTCGTATTAAATTGAGTTAGGCGTACAATTGTACATATGCAAAAATTGAATTGCCGTCGGCAAAATTTGCGATAATTTCGTAATTATTTTCAATGTTATCAATTTACATTATGTTCACAAATGAACATACTGTTACGCTCAATTCTTTTAATTAACAGCAAGTTTTGCGAATCATGTGAGGAGTGTGGTACGATTACGTGAAACGAAGTAATCGTGCTTTTTGACAATTTCCACTCTGGTCCGTACTTGCACCTTCTCTATGTTATACGTTCTCTGGTTTTGTGTTTATTTTGGCTCAAAAAGAAATGTCAAATGTCAGATGTTGCCTGTTTTCAAAATAGCATGTTGGATTTCTACAAAGCTGAATTTTCAACAAATTCAAAATTAAAATTGTAAATGTAATAAAATGTTTTAATCAATTAAATCCGTATGCCTGGTATAATATACGAATGATAGTGATATTAGCAGAGAACTTAGAGTAATTAGTTATAAATTTGTCTATAAACGTTCTCTGATATTAGTAGTCCCGCTTAAACTTGACCAAAAGATGGCGCTATACATACCATTCATTGTGAATACCATTAACGCCAAGAATTAACGGAAAAATTCAGAAAGCAAATGTGTACAGAGAACGTATAACATAGAGAAGGTGCAAGTACGGACCAGAGTGGAAATTGTCAAAAAGCACGATTACTTCGTTTCACGTAATCGTACCACAC